CCTTCTCACCATTTTAAATTCTATGGGATTTCTCGGAAGAGCTCTATACAAAATCTAAAAAGTTGACAGTGAACCGGGAAAACCGAGAATTTTATTGGAACTTAAACGTATAATTCTTATTAATAAATATGCAAAGTCCGTTGTCTCGAATATTTTTCTTGGAACTTTGAATCAGGCACCATAATCTTGAATAGTTTTCTTATAGTTCTTATAGTAGAATAGTTTTTTTTTCTTCTCAACTGATGTCTTGAAGTTTTTAACATTTTTTTTAATCCCGGATCTTAAAATTCTGTGTACATAGGGGAAATGGATGTAATGGCGGTCTAAATGTCCCTAATTTTGGCCCATACATAAATTCCAATCGACTAAATTTTCAATAGCGACCAAAAATATCCATCAGTACCGTCCCAATGACGCGTTCTTATAGTTAAAATTGATAAATAGCAGAGTTTTAGCGATGGGCCCAACCTTAGATCCATAGGCTAACATTGAAGTCATTTCCCTAGATAAATTATTTCTTTTGAAACTTATCTCAGGTGATGTTTGCACATTTCTCAATAGTTTCCTTAGGACCATTTCAACATATATTCAGAATTAATTTTGGTTTCAGTATTCCCCTTAGTAATCTTATTATTCTGTCCGGTAAGCCCTAGAAATTTTCCCGATAAAAATCTATTTTTGTGCAGATCGCTTTTGGAATTTCCGCCATAAATCTCTTGAAATGTACTTAAAATGTACTCCTTGAAATGCTTCTCAAAATGCTTTTGAAGAGAATGTCTTGAAATTGTCTTGAAACTATCCTTAGAATTCGTTCAGAAATTTCTTCAGAATCTCTTGGAACACTACTCAGAGATTATTTGAAAATATCTAGGGAAATATGCTGAAAATCTCCAGCAAATCTCCAAAAACTTTTTGATATTTCTTAAATATTCTTATACATTATTTTAGGATTTCTCTTGAAACTATCTACAAACTTTCCTAAAATTCTACAATGATTTCTCTTGGAATTATAATCCATATTTCGTTGCAGCTCTCATCAGAATTTCGCTTTGATTAATCGATCCATCGACATTTAAAAGATTTTAAGCCATAGGTTATTGTTAGATCTTCTCAAAATTACCGGAAATTTCTGTTCAAATTCCATTGAAATTCTCCCCAGAATTCGCTCTTAATCATATCTAGAATAATGCTGGGTCATGTAGTAGAAGGCCATTAGACCAGCAAATTATAGAAGGACAAATAAGGCTCTTCCATATTGTACTCAAAGCGCCGTTATTACGTCTCGTGTCAGGAAGAAGATGATAAAACTACTTTTGAAAGTCAAATAGATTGGTGTGCATTAGTGGCGCAGTCAGGATTTATTAAAGTACCAAGTACCAGTAACATTATTGGAATAAATTTCCCCAATTTCATCAAATTCTATGGAAACTAGTTCGATTTAGATAGGAAACAGTTAAAAAACATGCTAAATATACATTATTTGTGGAAAAATTCTAAATATAACATAACTGGGAAATCAACTCTGTGAAGAACTATCAATAAATTAAAAGAAATTTGAATGGATTCTGATGAAAAATGTGTGAAGGGGTTGGAAGAGCAGTCAGAAAACAACTTCTGGAGAAAGTTTGCAGCCTATCGACATCCAAAACGGAACAAACTTCCGTGGCAAGTCGGAAAAAACTTTCAGAAAATGTTAAGAGAATGTTCCAGAAAAAGTCGACAGAAATTTCCGGGGCATGTAAATAGGACCTATGGGGAACTTTTTCAAGAAAAATCGTAAGAAATGGTCATCAGAAGAAACTTCCAGATCAAGCCTAGAAAAACCGGACCCAAATTTCTGGAGAAGTTGCAGGATTCTTCCGGTGGAAGTCGTAAAAAACATCCTAATAAAACTGGAACAAACATACGCGGAAAGATGGAAAAAATGGGGAAATCATTCCAAGAATACTAGAATAAATTTCCAGGAGTGTCCTTAAGATTCTTTTAGGGGAATATAGAAAATAAACTCTCAGGACAAGTTGGAAGAATCTTCTGGAGACAGTTAAAAAACTGCCGAGAGATGTCTGAAGAATCTTTCAAAGTAAATCAGTTAAAACTTGCGGAGGTACTTAGAAGAAACTCCTGAAGAAAGTCAGAAGAAATCGGGGAAATTTGGAAAACAAAAAATCTGGAGTAATCAGATGACACTTTCTGGCGCAGTTGGATTTAACTGGAACAAGTTGAGAAGTCGGACGAAACTTTTGAAAAATTCAGAGCAAATCAAAATACTAAAATAAAATTCTTAAATTTATTTGATATTTTAGTAAATTTCGTTGTACAGAAATTCATTTTCTTTCGGCTTAAATTAACGAATTGAATTGAATTTGAATTCCAATATTTTCACGATTTAAAAGAAAACACCTTTCATGGCATTTTGAAACTTCTGCACATAATTTTCATCGGGGGATATTGAACAATAAAACATATCATCGATATTTTTCATACAATAGGATTGAACAAAAAGTGGTCCATAGCAAAAATCGCTAAAATCGATTTCCATTCTGTGCATACGAAGAAATGTAAAAGTTGAGCCACATGTAAAAAAAGGCAATTTTATATTTACCTCAAGGCTCAGGGGGTGTGTGAGAAAATAATGATCAGCTATTAACACTCCGAACACGATGCCTGCAGTAAAATGTGTAACGGCAAATTGGCAATGTTTGAAAAATCATTGCTCAGCAATTTATCGATAAATTTTGTATTTAATGACACCGAATAAATTTTTAAAGTATGTAGTTTCGAATGGCGCCAATAGATTTGAAATTCGTTAATAAATGGAGTTTGTAGTGTAAAACATCACGTGTAAACAGTAAAACTCGAAAAAACTGCTCGTGTATGAATGAAGGAAACATTGCTTGCCAAACTTGTGTCATTCAAATTTCAAAGGCGTATGATTTTTTTTCTATTAAAAAAAAAAAACAAAAAATCGGCCTAGTGACCTTCGGCCTAATGGCCAGACACCCCTAGAATCTCATCAAAACTCATTTAGAATTGTCATCATAATTTTCTAGTCAATGCTTCGGAGTGTCAGAATCCTAAAATGTAGCCCAAGTACAAGAGTCATGATTTTTTTTAAATCTGAGATCTTCAAAATACGCCAAAGGGGAATTTACGTATTTTCGCCTAAGCAACGCTTTTTTTTTCCTTGATTTGTTTTCCGTCGATCTTGTTTTCCGTGCTGAACACCAATGCTACCGACGCCAGGAAGGCAGCTCCCACACCTGGACCCTACATATCGACCCATCAACTCATGAACCGGGGACCAACGGCTTTACTTCCCCGTGATCAGAAATGTTATGCCTCAGAACATCCCGGTGGCGCCGACTGGGATTGAACCCAGGCCTGCTGGGGTGAGAGGTAATCACGCTTACCACTACACCACCGGCGCCGCTGAAGCAACGCTTCTATTAGTATTTTCTCAGCATGATGCACACATATGACGTGTTTGTTTGTTTACATTTATCTGCTGCTTGCTTCTCTATCCATTCCAATCGACATGATTGTTCAAAACTGTTTGAAAGCGTTTTTACAGTGGCGTTTTCATAACCTCAAACTACCTGTGCATCAACTCTCAAAACATAAACAATTATCAAAATATTGCTTGCAATGGATAGATATCGAGTAAACTAGAAGATTAAGTGTATTTTTCAACCGATTCGAGTATGAATATGGCATTAAATCTGGTTTTGAAAGTTGGTGCACAGGTAAAAAGTGAGGTTACGAGACGCCACTTCTGCAAACTTCTCAGGTGAGTGTGACTATTGTTGTCGGCAGCCTGTTTTCCTTTGGCAACCATTCCATTTGAACTGCGTGTTAACCAGCTTTTCTATTGTCGACAACTCGAAATAAGTCGCATTTTGTAGTGCGTATATTTCATTTAACGAAAAATCTGGCATAACAGGATTGTTCAGTTTAAAAACTGTTATCACATTGAAGCTGAAAGACTAGGGAATCGTGTTAATACATTCCGCGTAGTGTTTTGATGGGAAAATACAGAGAAATTAATTTCTAAATTTTGGATGCCGAAGCCGACATTTACCCTATTTGAAATCAGAAATCTCGCAAAGATCAAGAATGTGAAAACCTGGCTTAGCCGCAAATTATTTAAAAAAAATTCACGAGCTTTGAACAAAATTGTTGATTTTTCCGATTCTACTTACCCCAGTGTACCTTAATTGACATACGCTTATTGTATGCAGTGAATCGCCAATTTTTTCACACGGTGCAGTCTTGCTAAATATTTAACGTTGTTGTCCGCGTAAATTGCAGATATTCTGAATCGCGCTTCCTAGGTGTGATCCATTTATTACAATTTCAAGCGCTGATTCTAGAAATTCACTACCAGCAGCCGTCAATTTCCGAATTTACAGAAAACCACACTTTAAATCAGAACCTTAAATGTCATTCCAAACCTGCTCAAACTGCTGCGTTTGTGGTCATCGCCGAAACCAAGGTGATGAATTCACCTTTATTGACACATCAGCCCAATCTGGCAGAAGCGTGGGATCTCTAAAGCCCCGTCACTAATTTGTTTCCCATCATGAGAGTGTATATTCGTTTGGATGCCCGCCCCACACCAGTTGTCAATAGATCGTGATTACGACGATGACAGTTGAATCATCTCTTTCAATATCTCTCTCTCCCGCTCTTCACCGGTCAGTCACTCAAACTGTCTCGCAAAGGCAAGTGGCATCCATCAACCGCAGATCTCTTCCACCTACAACAAACAGCTATGACTTTATCCCGATAGGGTGTCATTGAAGCTCGGTTGAATATTAACCGCTGAAATGTTGGACATACTAAATTTAAGGGATTAAAAATAACCCAAATGCAATCCCAAAATAGGATTTAGCTAGGGGGACGGGGAAGAGAGAGGTACGTGCTTGTTTTGTCTAGATCTGAAAATCAGTTTGTTTCCATTCATACTGATGAGTTCTTTTCTGTTTGCCTTCTCTTTTCAGCTGGAAACAGGGATGCAACCGTACAAAAACAGAGCAGACCATCTTCAGCCAATAAAGGTTGGTATTGCCTTTTGGAGTAGAATCTTCCGATCTGATCTATTCAAAGTTTAGCAACCTTACTATGCTGGGAAATTGGGGTTTTTTTTCGTTTTCAAGTCTTATAATTTTCTTCATTTTATTCCCGTACACAACGTGACCTTCTAGACACTCGTCCTCATTCTGTACATCATACACTGCACTGGTTCGCCTGCGTAGGTGAAGATTACGATAGCAATGGTTACAATAACGAAGGTACGGGGCTTGGATTCTTGTTCTTTGCGAGTGATTTGCCCCTTTAACGAAGATGTGATTGTGACTCCCTTTAAAATTGTAAACCATCCGTTGCAAAATCGCATGATTGTTTTCAACCTTCATTAGACGCTAATGATTTTTACCTTCCTAAATTAACTGAATGATCAATGTAGAAACTTAACTTTCCCAAACTAATTAAGTATTCAACTAAATATTAATTGATTGACTAACCAGCAATATTATTATAATTGTTAAAATTACCAAGCATTTTTTTAAACCCTTACATATCAATTGAATGTCCGTTTAGAGAATGTTCCAGTTTTTCAAGAAAAATCGTAAGAAATGGTCATCAGAAGAAACTTCCAGGTCAAGCCTAGAAAAACCGGAACCAAATTTCTGGAGAAGTTGCAGGATTCTTCCGGTGGAAGTCGTAAAAAACATCCTAATAAAAGTGGAACAAACATACGCGGAAATATGGAAAAAATTGGGGTAATCATTCCAAGAATACTAGAATAAATTTCCAGGAGTGTCCTTAAGATTATTTTAGGGGAATATAGAAAATAAACTCTCAGGACAAGTTGGAAGAAAACAAAACTGCCGAGGGATGTCTGAAGAATCTTTCAAAGTAAATCAGTTAAAACTTCCGGAGGTACTTAGAAGAAACTCCTGAAGAAAGTTAGAAGAAATCGGGGAGCTTTGGAAAACAAAAAATCTGGAGTGATCAGATGACACTTTCTGGAGTAGTTGGATTTAACTGGAACAAGTTGACTTCCAGAGAAGTCGGACGAAACTTTTGAAAAATTCAGAGCAAATCAAAGTACTAAAATAAAATTCTTAAATTTATTTGATATTTTAGTAAATCTCCTTGTGCAGAAGTTCATAATTGATTTTCCTTCGGCTTAAATTAACGAATTGAATTGAATTTGAATTCCAAAATTTTCACGATTTAAAAGAAAACACCTTTCCTTGCAGTTTGAAACTTCTGCACATAATTTTCATTCACATATCATCGATATTTTTCATGCAATAGGATTGAACAAAAAGTGGTCCATAGCAAAAATCGCTAAAATCGATTCCCATTCTGTGCATACGAAGAAATGTAAAAGTTGAGCCACATTTAAAAAAAGGCAATTCTATATTTACCTCAAGGCTCAGGGGGTGTGTGAGAAAATAATGATCAGTTATTAACACTCCGAACACGATGCCTGCAGTAAAATGTGTAACGGCAAATTGGCAATGTTTGAAAAATCATTGCTCAGCAATTTATCGATAAATTTTGTATTTAATGATACCGAATAAATCTTTAAAGTATGTAGTTTCGAATGGCGCCAATAGATTTGAAATTCTACATATCAATTGAATGTCCGTTTAATTTTCAAAGTTAAACACCATAAAGTTTCGGAATTTACAAATATAATGCGGAATGTTTTATAAAGTACTAGAACAACTCATTTTAAGCAACTAAGTTTATCTCTAATGGTTCTCGTTCTATACTGGTTTTAAAAAGATAACTTAGGGTGACCCCTAAAAAGTCAGTTTTTGCATTAACTTTTTAAACATTGATTTCTCGCAAATGATTTTTTCTATAAACTTTTGTTGGCGCAAGTTTTTTTTTCTGAAATTTTCTAATCTACTATCTCTTTTTGTTAAAAGGTTATAAATGGTTTTTGTTCAAAAATTATTATTTTTTCAAATGCTGATTTACTACCCTATTTACAAAATATAATTAAAGATAGGCCAGCACAATGTTTGACAAAGTTATAGAACTATTTATTTGAAGCAACTTTGCAAAAGAAAGAAATTTTTATGTCTAATGGTGGACGTTTTATATTGCTTTTTTTATAATTAACTCACGTTGACTCGTGACAAATGGGTCTTGTTAAATTATTTTTTACGTTAATTTCGTGCAAATGACTTATTTCAGACACTTTTAAAACTTAGAAACTTATAACTGGAGCCTTCAATTTGCTACCTCTTTTAGTTTGAAAGTTATTATCAATTTTCGTGAAAAATACGCCCTGTAAATTGTGACAAATTTATTCAAAATAGTGTTCATTTCCATTAAAAAATGTCAAATATTGTGAAAATTTCCGTTAGATCTTGCACAAATTTTTCGTTAATAATTGTGACCTTAGTAACAGAAATATATGTTTAAATGTTGTGATTTATTCCGATAGAAGGTATGGTTAATTTCTTTAAATATCGTGGTCAATTTCATTCGAAGTTGTGGCCAATTTATTTTGCAAATGCAATCTTGAAAAGACCAATTTGCCATCTGAGTTTGATATCCTTTTAAATTAATCTCATTGACAGTTGTGGCCTTTTTCGATAAAGCACATGATCAATTTATTTGAAAATTGTTACAGGTGCTTAAAAAGCTGTGACCATTTTCGTTGAAATTTGTGAAAAGTTACAATCAAGTGATTAGAAGCAGTGAAAATTTTCTCTTGATTTCTTCTCTTAAAAATTGTGATCACTCCATTTGGTTGATGACCTAGTTCGTTGGAAAACGTGGTGTCAAAGTTGTGACCGATATTGTTTTAAGTTGGGTCATATGCCCGAACAAATGCTATCCATTTTGTTAGAAATTTCGTATGATTTTCATTCGATGCTCTTTAGTTTCATTCGAAACTGTTAGCGATTTCGAATTGATTTGTATCCATTTCGCTTGCAAATGATTTCATGCGGTTGCATTAGAAGTGGTGAATGATCAAGTTCAAGATTGAGGGATCAATTTAGTTAAAAGTTTGTTATAATTTGAAGTTGTGAAATTTTTGTTTGAAGTTGTTTCCAACTTCTTTTAAAATTACGTTAGAAAATAAAACGTTTTTGTTTAAAATTGTGATCCGTTGAATCGATTGAGGGTTGTTGTGACTTTTTAAATGTTATTGGTGCTATGGTGGTGCTGCTTTTATTGCTCAAATGTCACCAAAATACACTTAATAAATTACTAGAATATTTACGCTTCGAATTTTCTCCTGACAAATATTCGTGTCATCAGTGATTATCCAATTCAAATTTTCGGAACATTTAAATGTTAGAACAGTTTTTACTCAAATGTATTCTCATGATTTCCCACAATATGTAGCACTAGCATGACTCTCTGTATTGACATTCAATGTGTTTATTCAATTTATTTCCATATAGCAAATATTTGAATCAGCTAACAAGGATCTTTTTGGAAAATATCCAAATTATCTTCAGAAACTCAATCAATAAATTTCCTAGCCATATCCCGTGAAATATTTTTTCTTAAAGTTTCAATCGTTTCTTAAATAGGGGAAATGACTCTAATGTTGACCCTTGGATCTAGTGATTGGACCCATTGATTAAAATCTTGCTGCTCTTTAATTTTTATTAGAACAATACATCAACTGGACAATACTAAGTGATATTTTTGGTTGCTAGTGAAAAATTGTCAAAAACTGCTTCCCTTCGAAATTTATGTATAAGCCCAATATATACACTTATAAGCTTTATAATAACAAAATATCAGTCCTATAAAGCCAACAGATGAATTATTGGGCTTGATAGTTATGTTGGGAGCATTTGTTGACAAACAACTGACAACCCGAAGCGAATGGAATTAGGAGAATACTGGAAAATATTACTCAGTTAGCTAAGATTTGCAAATTAATTATGTCATTCAGCGGTCAAGCTTCAATATATTTATTAGACTTCAAATCAATGATTATGAACATTATGCCGTAAAGTGCCATAATTTTGCGCACCAAGTCCTAAACCAGGGTGGCCACTCAACCAGGAAAACCTGGAGAACCGAGAATTAACCGGGAATCGAAAACATCCGGGAAAAATCGGAAATAACCGGGAATTTATTTGATCTTTAAAATATAATTGTTTTTGCTTATATTAATCGAGTTCTTTTAATAAAAAGACCGATCTACTGAATATTTCTTCAAACTTGAAATTCTTAACTATCCCTCCCTTTCTTTAAGTCCGATGTCCGGTAGTTTTAATAACTTCGTAACTTTTAGAACCTTAAGAACATGAACCTTATGTCACATAATCAAGAATACTTCTCCATTCCTTACATCGGAATTCTCCTCGGAATTCCGTAAAATTTTACCTCAGAATCTTCTTGAAATCCTTATCATAATTATCTAGAAACTATTGCCTAACTTCTGCTCCTGCTCCAAATTATCTTAGAATTCCTATAAGAATTCCAAGGGATTGTTTTCTCAGAATTCTCTTGAAACCCTTCTTAAACTCCCTACAGAGAATCTCTTAGAATTTCCTTGGAACTATTCTGAGAAATCGGTTGTCTTAGAACTCTTCTAGAAATTCTCTTGGAACATTCTTGTGAATCTTCCTGGAATGCTATTCAGAATTCATTGGAAATTTACTTAAAAATCACTTTTAATTGCTCTAGATTTCTCTGGAATTCTCTGAAAACGGTAAAAGATGTTTCTTCAGCAAACTAGCTTGAAATCATCTCAGCTGCAACTTTGCTCAAGAACATACGTTCTTAATTTCAAAAATAAAATAAAAAATAGGTTATATCAATAGTTTGAGAACTAGCCTAATTAAAAAATAAAATAAAATTTACTCTTGAACAAAAATCATTTATGGTGGTCCTGAAAAGAACCCTTTTGTCGACATGGTTGGTTAATGCTTCGTTGTGTACTGGAGAATATTACCATACGAGGTGATTGAATAAACACCGTTCGGTGAGACTGGATAGAATTCGATTTTGAAACCTGTGTTAGGGAAAGCGCTTTTTGCAGGCAATCGGTAATAATTTTGATCACCATTGAAACAGTTGAACATTTTTGTAATTTTCAATAGTGACCTATTGAAAATTAATAAAGTGTTCATTTTAGCAGATTCTTAGAAAAATACCCAATTGATTGGTTTGATTAGAATTAAAATCCATCCGCTATTGACAGAGTTATATGTGGTCAAAACCTGACCACTTTTCGTAATGCGATCGATTTTGGTTTTTTGAAATTGCACCCCCAATATGTTGCCGAAAGACGTAATCCTACGTAAAGTTTGCTAATTTAATCTAACCCCAACACAGCCAGTTCTTCCTAGAAAATTATGGGCATACCCCCATCATCTTTCTTTTCTATTTGATATATGGTTCATATCGAAGATGCGTCACACATACTAAAGCGGCCAGGCCTACTGTGCAGTAGTTAAGGGGCAATATGATTCATATGATTCAGACAACATCCACGCGAAGATTTAAACATAAAACGTCAGAATCCGATGAATGGATGTACCGTGCTCGTACCGTACATTCCGTTTTTAGTAATTTATGATTGATTGTTCGTTGGGAGCATCCAGTCTAGAAAGGTTATGAGATGCTCGGTCGAGACATGAGCACTAACCTTTTATGGCTTAGCGCCATTACTCGCTTTCTGAAAAGGAAAAACAGAAAGGAAAGGATTGAATATATTCTGTGAAAAATATTTGTAATTTGAGATAAACAATATAAAAATACAGATCGGTCTCACCAATCATCCTTCACTCCTTGGCTACCGCAATTCTCCAGAACAAAACCTAGATGTTCAATAAAATTGAAAGCGTCAGGGAAGTTCCGAGAACATCAAGACAGATCAGATAATCAAAGTGCAGTTCAAATAATTTTTAGGAAATTGTAGAAACCTTAAACAAGATTCGAGAAACTCAGGGAATTTCCCGGAAACTTCAGTAAAGCTCCGAGAGAATTTCTGAAATGCAACGAAAATTATATGAATATTCGGAACATGTGAGAGTATTTTAAGGGTGTTATATCATGGATGTTTCAAGAACTTCAAGAAACGAGGTTCCATTAATCCATTCAAATCCAAACAAAATGCGAGAACTTTTAGCAAGCACTGATATTTTCAAGAATTTCCGGAGAACTTCTAAGAAATTTACGTATTTTTTGATAGTTTCATGATGTTCAGCAAAGTTCCGAGTACTTGGAGGACGATCAGATAACTTCAGAACAATCCCATTAACTTAAGGAAATTTGCAGCGACTTGCAAGGAGTTCCGTGGAATTACGGGACATTCCAAGAATTCTATGATTAATCCTTAAACTTCAGAGTGTTAGGGAATTATGAATGTATATATATCCGGAACATTAAACAAATTTAGAGAACTTCAATCAGGTAAGCATAGAAAACTTCAGGGATGACCAGATAAGTTCAAGGAAAATTGGTGATTTATGGCAAAGTTCCGTGACCGTTTATAAAGTTTATAAAACTTAAGCAATCTAATTAATTTCAGTAAAATTACGGGTTCTTATAAAAAAATACTGAAAAATTCAGAGCAGTCTAGAGAGCTATAAGGAAATTTAAAAAAATTGACAGTTATAATAATATCAGGAAAGTCTAAGACTATTGAAGAAGTTATGAATTAGTGTCGAAAATTTAATCAACTTTAGAAAAATCTTGGAATTTTAGTGGAAATCATAGAACTATAATAATTACATCGTTTTCATGACATGAAAATTTCGAGAACTTAAATAAGTTCCAAGAAATTTCAGAAAAAAACTGGGATAGTGAGAACATAGTGAGAGTTTGTCTGTTTTTTTTTTCGTGTTGCTATAAGACAGCGTGGGAGTGACCAGTCTTCTTGATATGCTGTCTTCTGTCTTATCCAAAGACTGAATAGTTCTACTAATTTAGAGTAGCACATTGAAATTTGTAATATCCAGCAAAGCTGTTCTAAGATTTCTAATTTTTTTGTTAAAAAGCATAAAACTAATACCCTTAGAATACAAGTTATTGACGTCCCACTGTAATAACCTTTGAAAACCGCAACAACAGCATAAATGATGTTTTTTTTATTCTCTGTGCGCACCGTTAATTTGTAAAACAATAGGAAATTAATCACATTCCCCTTCTTCCTCTTCTTTACCCCGCAGACCTGCAGAAAGAACGTGAGGAGCGAATAAAGCAGATGAAAGAGCGCCAGAATGAGGAACGACAGCGAAAACTAGAGGAACTGAAGGCACAAGCACTGGCAGCGCAGAAATTCCGTGAACAAAAGGAAGAGGAACGACGCCGCCGGATGGAGGACCTCCGACGGAGAGAGAACGACCGACGCTCACAGGTTGAGGAGCGACGGCGTGCGATACAGGAGGCGGACAACGAACGGCGACAGTACATCCTGCAGAAGAACCAGGCACGGGACATGCGGATGGACGCAAAGCGACGCAACGAACGCAGCTCGATACAGTTCGCGTTCGGTTCGTCGACGCCGCGAATGATCGACACCACCGACAGCGGAATGTGCAGCTCGTTCTGGTCCAACCGGAGGTACGTCCTAGGCCAAGTTCTTACGAATCGATCCTAATGATCAACCATTCTTCCTTTTTCATTTGAAGAGCAACATCCATCACGAATGTGGCGTACACGGGGGCACCACTGACGCGTCGAAGTTCCGAACGGGAACTGACCGACGGCAGCTCCAAGAAACGTGCTACCTCCGCTAGCGGTCTAGACCGATCGACCGACGGTAGGTTATTTTTGTTTGTGCTTGTGCGTGTGGTATTTCACGTACACCCACACACCCAATCAGAGTTGTTCATGAATATCGTCGTCGTTTGTTGTTGTTATTGAGTCGTCTTCCTTTCTACACAAGGCGCGCGGCATACCGTGGTAAAAGTAGAATCAGTGGTTTCCTGAGCTTCCAAAACAAAACAAAAAAGGCGCAATGTCGCAAATGTCTTCCGTGATGATGTCCTTTGGTTTTCCTTCTAGCCCTATAGTTTTCCTTTAGTTTAGTTCGCTTATGTTTATGTTTAACTTTAGTTATCGTTGGTTTTATCGTTAGTACACAGCTCGTCACACCCCGTATGTATCGTAAGAGTTTCGTTTTTAGAACGATACGATAGCTAACGTTTGATTGTTTGATCTAGTAAAGTTTGTTCCAGTGTAAGCCAACGATTATATGTGATAGAATATTAAGGTTCGAAAAGTCGTTGGTAATCGACAAAAAACACAAACACGTTTGTTTCAAGCTTTGCTTAAAACTAGTGCTGCTGATTCCCGAGTTTGTGTCAATTTTGGCTCATCAAATACACAAATTCTGACTGACCAATCAATCAATTTTAGCTATGTGAGCCATGTGTTCGTCGTCGGAGAGAGTGAGCGAAAACAATGGGTGGAGGATCGCTTCTGCGTGAGCGAACGATTGTTTTTTGTTTGCTCTTTTGTACGTTTACTGTGGGATGAAAGTGTATGAATAGGGAAACGAAATGAATGGTGCGGCGCTTTCGAATTCTACTTGCTCTGTTGAAAATATGACGCTTTGGCTTTGTGACGCCATGAATTATAGTTTCTAGGATTACTTTTTAGGGTCCCGAGTTCCTAGTAAAGTGAACAGCTGAAAACCTGTTCCTACCAGTAAAGAACTGACATATATTTGGCAATTGGCATCTACTTTCATATTATGTGTTTCTATTCGGTTTTTATAATGAAAAATGTGAAAACATCAAGTCAGTTTGTCCCATCAAGCAAAGTAATCGCATATCCTAAAACTGTATCGTCCAGAGGTCAAGTTTCAGTTCTGCTTTTTGAGTTGCCTTACTTTTCGCTGATAAAGGGTGATACGGTCAAAATTTGGTCAAGGGAAAACACGTGTAAATCGGTGAAATCGTTTATTTAAAAAATCAAATTAAATTTCTTTTTCAAGTTCAATTAGTATAAAATTCAGGAAAAATATTCAGTTAGGCTTCCGCTTTTCCAAATCCGAATTGCCGGGCCTTACGCTTGACTCCTGCCATCAGATTTTGTACAGCCACCTTGTCCACCTTCTTCGCCGCAGAAAGCCAGTTTGCCTTGAACTGCTGCTCGCCCTTAGCAGTTTTTTTGGTCTTCTTTAGGTTCCGCTTGACAATAGCCCAGTATTTCTCAATTGGGCGGAGCTCTGGCGTGTTGGGAGGGTTCTTGTCCTTGGGAACAGTGCTGAGATTTGTCATTGTCATTGACAGACTTTTGCACGATATTGACAAAATTGTTTTTCACATAGTCAATGATAGACTTGATCCTCAAAAAAATCTTTGTCAAAATCTCATTCATTTTTTCGTCAATGACAAAGATTCACCTGGTAACAGAAAGTGTAATTTCTTGCATTCTGAGACACATTATTGTTATCCAAGCGGTTCAGGACGTAGATCCTTATTCACTTTTTTTTGGCTCGTTTTTTGGCTCGATGCACGGTTGTAGACGATACACCCAGCTTATTTGCGGCATCTCGGAGAGAGAGGTTAGGGTTTCGCTTGAAACTACCGGCAACTCTCTTTGTCGTCTCAGCGGCTTCCGGTTTTCGATTTCCCCCCGATCAAGACTTCCTGGCTGTCGACAAACGTTCCCCAAACACTTTAATTACATTTGTAACGGTTGATTTGGCAACTTTTAGCGATTTTGCCAACTTTGCGTGCGAGTAGCTCGGATTTTTGCGATGCGCGAGCAAAATTTTGATACGCTGCTCTTCTTGCTTGGACGGCATTTTGACAACTGAAGAGTGAATTCCAAAATCAAAATAGGAGCAACATTCTACACACACACACCTTCAAAATGAGGGGTGTTCAGGTTTTTTAAATGCAAAATTGAAAGAAATACGTCAAGTTGATATTGACCAAATTTTGACCGTATCACCCTTTATTACATAACATCCAACTTGAAAAAAAAATAATAATAAATGTACTATGATTTTTCAAATAGTTTAAAGGTAATTGCATTTCGTAACTTTGACTGCCATTATCTCAATGTCTACTTTATCCATATATCAGTCCCATGCGATTATAGGCAGTATAGGAGACAATGTAGCGCAAATATTCTGGGATAACTTGAAGTTCAATCTATTTTCTATCGTTTTTTTTTTAATTTTACTTATTGAAAATTGGTGAACACTTTTCCTCAGAACTGGAGCAAAATAATTTCTATATCACAGTTCCATGTTAAGAGGCAGTCGAAATGTTTCCTAACAGAAATTTTTATCAAAAACATCAAAGGACTGCTTCAGAATAGCTTCAATATAATCGCAGGAAAACCCTGGACCAAGAGAATTCAGCATTTGAATAGCAATGCGAGATTTTAGACCAAGATATTTTTGCAAGACCCTGACCTAAGAAAATTCTAAAATGTTCTGTTTGCGACACCTCATACTTAGAATATCTTTACATATGCCGGGTTTGGACAAACACATATCCCAGACTTGCAATTACATATTTTAGCATTCTGGTACTCTGAATATTTTTCAAGATATTGGACACTTGTTCCTAACCAAGGTTGCAAATATTCATGTCATATATAAACATAGTTTTCGGAATTATTAAATCATTAGATGTTATGGTGATATTTTTCAATTGTAAGATACAAGAAGTCGTTCCATAGTATGTGTTTGACACCCAAAACCTGTCAATTTTGCTTCGTAAGAGTCGCAATCAGCGATTTTATAAATTTTCTCTCACTCACTCAGCGATCATAAAATCACTGATTGCAACCTTAATGTCTATTGATTTAATTATTCCGAGAAAAATATTTTTATGCGAAATGAGTATTTGCAACCTTATTTCTAACATTAATTCATGTTTAAGATCTAGAAATCAGAGGAATATTCGATATGTCGGATGTTTAAGCGAATTCAATATTCCGGATTTGGAAACATTTTTCCTGCTTGTTTTTTTCAGAAAAAAAATCATGATTCTGTTATTTTAGAAAGAGAATAATACATATTTCTGATGCCGGATTTTGAAAAAGTCTTGGTTGAAAAATGATCGCAGAGATTTATTGTAATATAAGGGACTCAGTCGCGTTAGAGAGACCGGTTTTGTATACTGAGCAGCAGATCGTGGATGCAATTTCAGGCTCCTTCACATTGAGTGTTAGGATCAACTTTAATCGAAAAAAATCAGCTTTAATCGAAACAATCAATGCGACGAAGAGACTGCTAGTATTAATTTGGTGTTGCAGTCATGTAGCTTCGCATTATTCTAGCAACTCTGTCGGTGTCTACAAACAAATTTTCTTTCGTTTGTCTCTCTTTCACCCGTGTTCCTTTCGAGCTTCGGTGAAGTGAACAAGAGCCCTTGACTTCGATTAGCTAGTCTCTCATGGATGTTTTCAATCGGAGTTTCACGTCTTATATGACAGGAATGACAATATATAGTTAATGCATTTTGCACGTGTAAATATTTGAAGATTACACGTACTATGTTTAATTTATCTTCCCTCCACATAATTATCTTAAAAAAGTAACGAAAATGGTGCATACATAAATTGAATGAGCAGGTCACTGAGTGTCGGTGAAAGGAATTGAAAGCCAATTTGAGGCTGCTTTTCAACTCGAAAACCGACCCTGCTTTCATTGAAAGGAAGTGAGCAAAGCAAGGCGAGGAAATGTACAGCCAGGCTGTCGTTCTAAGCGTGATATTTTCCATGTTCGTTTCGCGCTGTTGGGAGGAAACGCTGTACTAATATCAACATGAAGCTTTAATGCGATAATTTATTAGCTAGAGAAAGTTTTGAAGCGGATAGATTGATAGTTCCGTTAGAATACGGCAGTGTGAAATTTGAACAGAAGTTGAAGTTGAGCGAAGGGCCAATAATGCGATAATACTAATCAAGTGTGCACTTTTCTTAGCTCACTTGATGGATAAGGGGAATTTGAGGTATTTCCTTCCCTGAACTAGACAATGGAGTGCGTATTTGATAAGTAATGTCGCTCGATTTCAGCTATCAACTATTCGCTTCAAAACTTTCTCTAGCTACTAAATTATCGCACTAGAGCTTCATGTTGATATTAGTATAGCATTGGGAGTCTGTAATCGCAAACTTCACGTATGAAGTAACAAACAAACACTTTGATTGAATGTAGTTTTCACAGTTTTGTTGGGCAATAGGCCAAACAGAGTCACTACCATAGGTCTCAAATGAGCACCGCTCAATTTCTCAGATATGTTTACAGTAGTTAGGTACATGTGAGCTCAATATTAGGGGCGGCAATTGAATTTTTATGTTCAATTTATTTGGTTTTTACAGATTGAGGGGAAATTTGGCAAAATGGGCCCCTTCCTGATATCTGCCAAAGATGATACTATAAATATTCAATTCCCCGGAAATCAAGAGTGTCCATACGATGAAATTGCATCACATATAAACAGCTGTAACTTTTGAACAATAATACCAAATCACTTGATTTTTTTTTTTTTTTTTATTTATGAAGGTCTGAAAGGAGTTTTATCCTGAACTACAACCAACCAACAGAATTCTATGGAACTGTTTGTAAGCTAATCTAAGCTCCCAATTTGGTATTTTTTAGAACATTTTTGGCATTTCTAAGGCCGTTTTGAAGTCTGTTAGGTCAATTTGACAGTTTCCAAGATTATTTTGGGGGTTATATATCAAGCCGTTTTGACGTTTCAATGTTATCTTGGCGTATTTGAAAACCCTGTAAGGTGTTTTGAGATTTTACGAATATTTTGGCGTGTTTTTGCGTTTTAAATGACTTTTTTAGTATGTAGCCTTGCAAACCGTTGGATGAAAACCAAAATCTGGGCCATTATGGATTGCGCTTATTACCTTATGAATGCCAAAATGTAATCGAAATCGTCCAAATTTACGTAAATAAATATTTACGAGAGTTAGAGGATTAAAACTCTGAACAATTTATCCTGTTATATCACCATTGCGTTCTAGAACTAAATAATGACTTGAAAAAAGAAATGTGTTTGTGTATTTTGATCGATTACCACTAGTCTATCTCATTTAAAACTAGCTCACATAAATTTGTTTTCCAATAGGCTCTAATAGATAAAGTACTACACCTTTCGGCTACTAGTAGCGAAATTTTTATCCAGGTCAACCCATGAAGTGAATCCGTTTATTTAGTAATTAATTTAGCAAATCATCAATCTGCATTACCTACCGAATGAGTTTTGTATCATCATAGATTCCATTTTTGTTTACCTTTAAAACCCTTCCGTCACTTCATCCATATCGAGTTCAGTTTGTCAATAATAACCCCTTTTCTCTACCAGTAGCCCTGTCAGCCTTAGAATACAACAGCCGTATCTTCGTTCCCTTCCGTTCCGTTGGTGCCTTGTATAACCTGGATTATTTGTGTTTTACATGTGTTAATCTCTGCCAAACGAAAATTGAACCCTGTTCTCATAAATTGGCTTATTCTATTTTCTTCATCTCTCTCTCTCTTTCTCTTTCCCCCGAATCTATTTTCGAATCAAATCTGTGCTAATGAACCGTGTAATTAACCGGCGAAAAAAAAAACCAACACACACTGAACACTACCGGCACAATTCCGGCCCCGCGCGTTTGCACTTGGCACCCGCGCCGCGCTCCTCGGATATTTGCACCCACCCACCACGACACCCCAAATCCACCAAAACCACCACGACCGTTATACACCCACGTTGCAGACATGAGACGAATGTCCAGCTCCATGTACGAGGTGTTCAACTGGGCCAGCACCAGTGAGTGTCCCAAGAAGTTGACCCTCTCGCTGGCCGGCTCCAGTATCAACATCGACGAGCCACCGTCCAGGGCGGAGAGAGCGGCGGCGGCCGCTGTGGCAGCCGCCACGAGAAAGGGTAATCCCGTCCATCGCCATGGAACACTAGGCAAAAGGGCGGAACTATTTCTCCCTTTTGCTTACGTTTTCTTTTTACTTCCATTCTACTACTGCAACACCAACCAAATTTTGACGTTTTGTGTTTTTTTTTCTGTTTACACACCGATTTTCAGTTTTCTTCTAATTACTAATTCCGTTTGTCGTTTGTTGCAGTTCATTTTTTTCTTTTAAACTCGGATTCGACTCATTCATTTTAACTTGTAAATCTTTTCGCTCCATTTTGGTTCTGAACATATTTTCGTCTTCTTGAAGAGATGCAGATTGAAAAAAATAAAAACGCGCCCGTGCTGTGTGTCCACATTTACTGGAATGGAATGGCGTCACATGTGTACCATTGTTGTTTCATGTCTTTCTATACTTTTCTGCTCTTTTTTTCTCCCCCCCCGGACGTTTGTCGCATAAGCTGCTGCCGCTGAATATTACTCGCTTTCGAATTTTGCTTTTTTCATTGTTTGTTGTCAATGTGTGGATTTTACTTACTTCTTCTGTCCGATCTGTTTGACTTTTCCAATGTTTTACTTGCTTTCTCTTCTGCTTTATTCTATGCTTGAACATTGTTTACATCTCAATTGTTTGTACTTCCTATACATTCTTCTTATACATTTTCCTTTTTTTAAATTTTTTATCGATAATTGCTCAAAGTCAGGTCATTCAGGTGCAGGAATTGCATCGTCGTTGTCTGATCCTAATCAACATTTTTCCGAAATAAATTAAGTTCTAGATCATTGATTGTAATCGCCATAAAATGTAGTACTAGAATGATATTACGAATTGTAATATAATCAAAAGAAAAACAATTGAACATATGTGAAGTACTAGTGTAATCATTTTCAGGGGTCTATATGCTATATAACTGATGAGAATCCGTCAAATACAATGGCAAGGGTCATTATAATCCGGAAATCCACTTGAGGTTCATTCATAATTCCGTCCGATTCATCCAGAATGCCGTCTGGTATTTTCCCTGAATTAAATCTGAGGTTCTGCTGTAAACTAGTGTAATCCTACTTAGTTTTCTTCTAAATTCCCGCATGGGACTACGGTAGCATTCCGGATAGGGTTCATCCGAGATTATTCCTGGAATTCATTCACAATTCCACATAAAATTCCACCAGAAATTCGACCAGAAAGAAAACTGAGATTACCCAGAATCTCATCTTGGATTCCTCAAACTCTCATCTTCGACTATTTCAAAATCAAACCTGTGAGATTCAAACCATTCCGGTTGGGATTCGTAAATAAATTTGTTTGGACTTTCCCTAGAATCCTGTCTAGAATTCTTCCAGAATTTTGCCTCATAATTCCGTATAGGATTCTTTCACAATTCTGGCTGGGATTCTAATCATGAAATTCTTCAGAATTTCGCCTGGGATTCTCAATTAACTCTGGTTAAGATTCTGTTTTCACCTGAATAAAATCTGAGATTACTCAGAATCGCATGAAATTGCGTTGGCTACCACAAAATCTCACCTTGGATTTCTCCAGAGTCTCGCCTGTGAGATCCAGTTGGGATTCATAAATAAATTCGTTGAGAATTGTCCTAGAATCATACACACTTAGATTTAGATTTGATTTAAATTTAGGTGCTCTGAGACTGACATATACGAGCGTCAATTTTGACATAAAATTGAATCATAATAGACGTAAAATTCAGCTCAATCAATCGTACTTCCGAACTTGTTCAGTCTCAGAGCACTTAATTTTACATGACATGTTTGTTTACGCCTCATCCTTTATGTCAAAGATGGATACTGTCACGTGTAAGATTAGGTATTTTCAAGTGTGTACATGATATTCTTTCAGAATCCTATATTGGAATTTTCCACAATGCCTCCTAGGACAAATTCAGAATCTCAACTTGAATCCTCCAAAATTCTGCCAGTGTACCAAAATAACCCCGTTCGGAATTATTGAAGAAATTCATTTCAAATTCTTCTGCATAGTATTCTTCCACAAATTCCTTCTAGGATTCTTCCAGAATCTCTTCTGAGAATGTTTCAGAATACCTGATAATTTTTTTTGATGATTTCATAAGGTCATAAGGTTGTGTACTAGTACATATTTGTAACAGGCCCATGTCTACTCAAAGCAGATTTGTAATTTCTTAAAAAAATCAATTGTTAAATCTGTCTATAGACTTCTCTCAAAAAAGAAAAACCGTGTACGAGAGCTGAACCCATTCTTGCACTCACACTTGAGCATTCAGCAAACGTGGGAGAAGTCTATGCTTCTAGTAAATTGATTAGCTGTCTGTCAGTGTTCGATAGGTATCATTCTAGTACTACATTCAACTAGCTAAAACGCATTGTTGCTCTTATCGTTTCACATAAGTCAAAACAAATCCGCTTCCCCTTCAAATTCCTGTGCATGGTTTCCAAACATCAAACATCGAAAGCTCGCAGAATCTCCTATCGCGCGCATGTGCTAGTGCTACACATTTCGTTTAATCTCGCATAAACGCTCGCGATTAACGTTCATCGATTGCTCTCTTTTGAATGTCTCGTGCCCGATCCCATAAGTCACCGCACCCATTTTTGCCCGCCCCCGATCAAATCGTTCTTCCACATTCGATCACATTCTCCTCAAACATACTCCCGCAAACCCGAAATTTGCAGCTTTTTGTCTGTTGTCCTCATTTTGTTTGGAGATTTTCTCTTCCTAACAGATTTGATTTTAGTTTTTTTCCTCTAAAAATCAAAAAAAAAAAAGAACAGTAACCTCATTTACTTTTTCCGACAGTTCAAAATTCAAATAAATACATTTTTCTTCTTTTTTCTCTTCTCTTTTTTCCCGTCGTCGACGTCGAAAACCAAATACCAAAAATTGAAAATAAACCTGATCAAAATCAAAAACCAACCAAACACACACACACATCCACGCGCGCGACTTCGCCTGTCTCCTATCCCTCCATAAAAATAAACTCTGTGTTTCTTCCTCTACGAATACTACTGAAAAATAAAACGATAATCTCGTACCTGAAACCGATGATGATTATATATGTGTGTGTATGTGTGCGTGCGCTGTCCTGCGCGTGCACAGACGATTCAGCTGACATGAGCTACCAGCGTACCGTCAATCGTCGCAAAACCGATCTTATGCCCACCATTCCTAGTCCTCGCGATAGCTCTAGATCATCTCTCGGCACTCACACTCCCAGAACACCAGGTAGTATTCTTCGTTTATTTGTTTCATTTAACTTTTATTTAGTCCTTCATTTTTGTTTAACTCATAACACCCCCCGTAACGGTTGTCTAACATCCAAGAAAGAATATTATCATTCATTCGCATTTTGAGATCATAATAAGATTGCATCTGATAAAATGACCGAAAATAGACTCATTTAGTAGAAGTAGCAGAGATTTTCCAATTTCCCCACGTTTAGAGTATAACTATGTATAGATTTAAATTGTTTTGTTACTGTGTCAGTTTTGATTCCGCGCATTATTGTGTCGTCTGTGTTTGTGAAAACAATAGCGCTTTTTTCGCATGAATATTTTTGTTCCAGTTAGCGAAACCGCCCTTTTATTCTAGTACTACGTCCATCTTTTCATCATTTAAAATAAAATTCATCCCTAAGATAATAATGCATGCCAAATATTGCCGAAAAATATCTCACTATCTTGATTTTTAATTTTCTTTTTGCATCGTGATTTGGTTTGTCTGCAAACAAAATACAATATTCAACAAAAAAAAAAAACCCGCGCGCTTGCCAAAACCTAACCTCAATACGATTACGCTAAACACACATACACACATACGTGTGCTGCACAGGTCGAGCCTTTTCGATGACACGCTTGGATACGCTGGCGCAGCCCCGGCGCCGTAATGGCGAACACATCAGAGCAATCATCGAGCGTGAACGTCGCCAGGCCCACGAGTTGGAGACCCTGGCCCGTCTGTCCCTGTCGTCGTCCCGTTCATCACCGACGACCGATGGTGGCGCCAGCAGTAAGCGTATGTCCCGCAGTATGTCCCAGCTGGCGAGTTCTTCGTCCAAGTACCGGCACCCGTCGCAAGAGTCGCACACGGGGAGCCGCACGGGAGGTCGCAAGTCGTCGTTCAACTCGTCGCTTGGAGACTCGTTACCGATGGGCCGCCTGGACACCTCCAAGAGCATGTCCCAGCTCAACACGGCCGGACGGGTCTCGCGCCTGACCAAGACGGAACGCCTTCGCCAGCAGGTTCGCGAGCAGCTGAACGGTTCGACGACCACGACCACGGCGATTACGTCTTCTTCTACGACCGCAACAGGTGCGAGATTTGAACGCCGGTTTCCGAAGATCTTCGGAAACTGAAGGCTGTAGGGTATTTTGTTGGTGTTTCCTTAAGAGTAAATAATCTTTGGTTCAGTAACCCCCCCAAGTAACAGTGGACAGTGGAGTTCGCTAACACGAGGCTAGAGATAACTCAGTATTTGGAAATTCGGTGCGTGGGAACCTTCTCTCACACTCACACTCCTAGGAGTACCATCCATTAAGCAGTGTTTAATACACTCTAGTTTTATGTAGTGCCTTCAATTCACCCGGCCCATACATTCCCTCGAAGCGGAAAGCAAGCAACACCGTATTTGATCACCCTCCTGTCTCTCTCGACTTTCAAATGCTTCCTCCGCGTTCTGGGGAGGCGACTTGTGGTGGTTTGGCTATTGACACGATGTAGGATGTAGTACATTACCGTAGGATTCTAACACCGGAAGTCGGATCTTGCCAATTGCAGGACGCCTGTTGAAATTGAAGTAGATTCCCAATGGAATATTCTAGTACAACAATCTAGAATGCAAAGCAGTTGACCTATTTTTGAAATAGTAGTTCTCCTTCCTGATTCTATTCTTTCATACCTTTGTCTTCCCTTTTTAAATATCTTTCTAAAGCTTTCCTTATATCCACATTGCACAATGTAAATACACTCTCTTTTGAGCAATTTAGCACTTAGAACTAGCAAATCAATAAACGTAGTCGCGAAAAAAATCGATCGATCTTAAGCCGAAGGATATGCTTGCGTCAGTTTCACTTGCTTTCTGTTTGTCCTCGAATGGGCCACCTTTGCATATATCTGTTCCAAACTGTTGGATGAAAGGGACGTTTTCTCTCTGTATGTGTATACGTTCTCTGTGTTTCGGTGGTGGGGTAATTTTGTAATAATGGTATATATAGGATTCAGTGAACGGTTTGGTCATAAAATTGTTAACTCAAATTGGTTTAAAATCATTTTAACAATTCCGTTGCTTTGCATACACGTGAGATATTCGTACATCAGCTGAAAAAAATCGTACAAAAATGAAAAAAAAACTCAAACAATTTTAAGTTGAGGTCTATGCGCCAATGACAAATAATACTTTAGATTAAAATTTTTGTAATCACGCTATAGATCTAAACTGAAATAAAACCCAGCGTGAAATTATAGATTTGAGGATTTTGTAGATTGGAAATATATAATATTTTGAACTGAGAATATTATCTAGATCTTTAAAAAAAAGTGTTTATTTTTTAATGTCTAGGCTCATACGTTTTCAGACACAGTTTTTTTTTGTTACATCCACAAAATTAGGGTGATTTAAATCAGATCCTGGACATCCTCTCACAAAGTTTGATCAAGTTTGGTTGCAACTCGAATCATTATATTTAGTTAGAGCAACTCCAGGCGAAATATCCAAACAAAAATTGAATCGACCATTTCAGATTTGCATGAAATTTTGCATCATTGTTTGTTATGGACAATCATTCACATTTGTGCTAGAATTCAGCAATTAGAGCAGTTTGACTGAAGCCTAAATTTTCAAAATGGCGTTTTCGATATTTTTCAATAAACCATTGCACGAAAACGGCTCACCTAATATAAAAGACAAAGTTTTTAGAAACTGGATTGCCTTTTCAGAAAAAAAAACTCTGTAAAAAAAAAATCGTCCAAAAATGAAAAAAAAACTTAAAACTTAATAACAAAAAATGTACATCTTCGTAATTTTTTAAACTTGTGTTTATTTGAAAGCTTATGAAAACTGCTTACTTTTCTGAAATGGATACAATTGACATTTCAAGATTGACCCAAACTATTGGTACAATCTTCAAACTATTTTTTTCCACAAATAATGTTTATTTTTAAAACATATTTTTTAGTTCAGAAAATCATTTCCTATGCACAAATTGTGTGAAAAAAGTTCATAAATTTTACTACAAAATTATATTCTACGATTTTGATCAATTTTGAAGTATCCATTGTGTCCATTTCAGAGATCGCATTTTTGATAATCTTTCAAATCAACATACTTACTTACTAACATGCTTTAAATTGAAATTAAAAAATGTGGAGACACCATAAGAGACACCATTTGCACCAGTAAATTTAAAAATATTCTCCATAAAACAAGAGAAATAATCAAAAAGAAACATAAAATATTCCATTGAAAAGTTATGAATTATTCCCAAATAAATACTGAAATGTTCCATAAACTTCAGCGATTGTTATAAAACATTTCATCTTTTTTATTGGCTCATACATTTTTTTTTTATTGTGTTGGGAACAATCTTTTTCTTGTTGCGTAGATTTACTATCCTGCCCGTATCTTTTTTAATTAGAGGAGTGAAGTGACGGGCATGTGGCAAATAAAAACTATAAATTATTTCATTGAAATCGCTGAAGGTTATGGAATATTTTCCTCTTTTGTATTGGTTCATTTCATATTTTTTTATTAACGCATTCAATATTTCTTAGAGAACATTTCAGCTTTTTTAAGGAACATTAAATTAAATTTGCATCTTCTTCTTGCTGCGTACGTACTTGGATTAATTTAGTCAGTATTTTTTTATTGGGTGGTTTTTGAATTGCAGGAAAAGTCGGTAAATATTAAATGGCCGTTATCCGTAAGGAATCAATGAAATTGACAAATTTTATTTTTTCTCATTAACAGAACTAAATATGTTCAAGTTCAGAATAAATTATCTAATTTTTAAATTTTTCACAGATTTTTAATTTTTTACCGATCAGTTTCGCAATATAAAAGCCCAGTTAAACCTTACTGACTGAATTAGTGTGTAGATTTACTTTCCAGACCGTGTTTTTTTTAGTTAGAGGAGCGGAATGACGCGCAAGCGTCCAAAAGAAGCTTCTTAAAGGTGAAATGTTCCCTAAAAGTACTGAAATGTTCCATGAAAATATAAAATGAGACAATATGAAATGTGCCATTAACCCTCGGTTACTCGCGCCAACTTTTATAACACGAGTACTCGCGCGTTGTACTTTGTACAACAGTGTGAGTTTTCCATTGCCATTTTGCAGCCGAGCTACCAATCGATATGAAACCAACGGGTATTCCTTAAAAAACTTGTTTTTAACTAAAAACAAGTTAACTAAGTTAACCTACAAAAAATGCGGAAATAGAGAAAATGTGACTGGAAACCGCGTAAACGGTGTTCGTACTACGTGGAATTTGACTTAATTGGTTACAACATAGAAAATCTCGAGATCCTGACCAGATAGAAAGTTTTTGTCTTTGGCAAAGTTGTTCTAGAGATCATAACCTTTTCGCTGAAGGAAAGTAGTTCAGAATTTTCTCACTACGTAGCGCTAGAATACATGTGAAATTATCGCATGTGATATATCTCGAGATCATGATCAGATAGAAAGTTACTGTCGTCGACAAAGTTGTTCAGAAGGTCAAGGCCTTTTCATTGGTGGACAGTAGTTCAGACTTTTCTCACTTCGCGGCGCTAGTATACATGTAAAATTCTCGCATATAAGAAATATCTCTAGATCCTTACCATATAAAAAGTTACTGTCTTCGGCAAAGTTTTTCAAGAAGTTAAGATCTCTTCGTTGGTGGAGTAGTTCAGAAAATTTTCACTACGTGTCGCTAGTATATACGTGCAATTTTCGCATATACCATAGCTCGAGATCCTGATCAGATAGAAAGTTACTGTCAACAACAAAGTTGTTCAGGAGGTCATGGTCTTTTGGCTGGTGGACAGTAGTTCAGAATTTTCTCACTAACTCTAGGCTTCAACCTCGTTTACAACTTTGTTCAAGACAGTAACTTTCTATCTGGTCAGGATCTCGAGATATATCACAGACGAGAATTTCACATTTCACTAGCGCTTCGTAGTAAGAAAATTTTGAACAACTGTCCACGAGCAAAAATTTTGTGATATCCTGAACATCTTCGCCGGCGACAGTAATTTTCTACTTGAGATATTGTATATGAGAGAATTTCACATGTATACTAGCACCATGAAGTGAGAAAAGTCTGAACTACTGTCCACCAGCCAAAAGACCTTGACCTCCTGAACAATTTTGTAGTAGACAGTAATTTTCTATCTGATTAGGATCTCGAGATATAACATATGCGAGAAGTGTACATGTATACTAACACCACGTGGTAAGAAAATTCTCAACTACTGTTTACCAGCCAAAAAGTCTTGACTCCCTAAACAACTTTGCTGAAGACAGAAACTTTCTAGCTGATCAAGATCTCGAACTATTGAATGAAAGGCACGTATATACTAGCACCGCATAGTGAATTCTGAACTATTGTAACCCAACTAAAAGATCTTGACTTCCTGAAAAACTTTGCCGAATACATTTGCTTTCTATCTGGTCAGGATCTAGAGATATTTTATATGCAAAGTTTTACATGTTTAGTAGTGCCGCAAAGTGAACTACTGTCCACCTGCAAAAAAGCCTTGACCTCCTGAACAACTATGCCGAAGACAGTGCTTTTCTATCTGATTGGGAACTCTAGATATTTTATATAAGAATTTCACGTGTATACTAGCGCTACGTAGTGAGAAAATTCTGAACTACTGTCCGCCAGCGACATGGCTATGATCTCCTGAACAACTTTGCTGGAGAAAGTAACTTTCTATCTGGTCAGGATCTCGATATATTCCATGTTGTAATCAATTAAATCAAATCCCACGTAGTATGGCCACCATTAACGCGGTTTCCATTTACATTTTCCCTATTATCTGCATTTTTTAAGTGTTAACTGTGATCAAAGTTTAGCTTGTTTAGATCAAAACAAGTTTTTTGATGAATACTCGTTGGTTTCAGATCGATTGGTAACTCAGCAACAAAATGGCAATGGAAAACTCATGTGTGTGGTACAAAGTATAACAGCGCGAGTAACGGAGGGTTAAAAAAGATTTAATGTTCCATGGAACATTTCATCTTTTTTATTGGCGCATTTCTAATTTTTTATGGAACAACTCAGTATTTTTAGGAAACATTTCATAGCTTTTTTAGACATATTTTCATCTTTTTATTGATCATTTCCCTTGTTTTATGGAGAATAGTTTTAATGTTACTGGTCACTTGTCATTTATTCATGTTGCCTCCACATTTTTAATGAGCATTTCAATTTAGATCTGTTTATTTTGTGGTTCAATTATTAATTTTTCAGGGTGCATTTTATTGTTTCTATTGGTGCAAAATATGGGTTGCCGAAGCATAACTCTGATTAACATATTTCATTGAAAATGCCGGAGATTTTGAGGGACCAATTGATGCAATTTGGATGGGAGAGTTAAAATTTCAATTCCGTATTGTTAAAATTTCTTGCATAAAGGGCGGGCCCTTCTCTCCAGTTATTGGGCCAACCTCCGGTTAGAGGGCTGGTTTTTTTAACAATTATGCGATCATGTTGCTAGAAAGAAATTCGTTACCGTCAAGTGGATGCGCATAAGTTACTTCCTATCGATCCACCCAATCCGTTGTTGGCCCTTCAAACAGTGGCCTGATCAATTCGAACAGAGAGGAGATCCAACAGGTGTCGGCCTTAGCTTCCATGCTACAATGGGTGTGGTAAACATTCATAATCTATGCCCAGGGAAGTCCAGAAATTTTCAAACCCTAAAAATTCCTAAACTGGGTCAGAAATTGAACCCAGCCACCTAGCTGTTCCACGCCTTCTAACGAATCGATTTTATTTTTCCTTCTCAGAATTTCATGAAACTTCGCGCCTTAACACAATGAACCAAGTTTGTACCAGAATTCTGCCATTTTGATAACCACCCATTTTTTTCAAAATGGCAAAATCTATATTTTTCGATAAATCATATTCGGAAACGGCTCATCTAATCGAAATAACGCCTGGGACAAAGTTGTAGAAAACTGCATTGCCTTTTCAAAAAAAAAAAATACACACTGAAAAAAGCCACAATTTTTTATCAAAAGATTTAAAACCAAGCTGTTAACTTCAATAACAAAAAAGTTCATTTTTAGATATTTAACCTTATTTTTATTTGAAAGCTTATCAAGATTGCTACTAGATATAATGGACACTTCAAAATTGACAAACGAACATCAGCTATTAGTTCATATTTTGAACTTTTTTCCACAAATAATTGATATTGTTTTTATGTAAAATACAAATATTTTAAGTCCAAAAAATCGTTTCCTATGCACAAATCAAATCACATAAATAGTGTGTGTGTGTGTGTATTCCCTCTAACCCCCACTGGCCGGCAGTGTTATTATGGAAGAACTCTCTCCACAATGTCGCATTTATGGTCATTGTAGACAGCTTTAGTCCGGGAGTTAGAAGGTGATAGCTCTATTGCAGATCCAGCAACCCTTTTCAGAATGTCTGGAGAGTCACGCCCATTCCGAGGTTACTTTCACTCAAAATTAGCCCCGCATGGATGCATCACCGTTATCAAATGGATATTGGTGATACATACACACTTCCAGGTTCGAAAATATTCTTTTCAACCCTGGCATGTATTTAGTGTAAATTTGATATATTTTTTTTTTTAATAAATGGAAAGCTCTCACCATATTCTGCTCTTCCGCCGGCGTTATTTGCTTCTTTTGGAACCCTTTGGACTTTTTCTCTAACGCTTCGTATTTCATTCCGTGCTTCACCGGCAATTTCCTTCCATAGATCATCCTTGGTTGGTTGGTTCTAATATGATTCCGCCTTTTTAGGTCGGTTTGATCAAATCAAATCACATAAATAGTGCGTTAAAAAAAGCTCAAAAATGTTACTATAAGTTTATGTTCTACGATTTCGGTCAATTTTGAAGTGTTCATTTAAAAAAAAAAGCTAGCTTTTTTGATAAGCTTTCAAGCAAACATAAATTTAAAAATTTAAAAATTGTATTTTTTTGCGTAATTGATTTTTTTCCTTGATTTGTTTCCCGTCGATTTTGTTTTCCGTACCGTTTCAGGTCTTTTGGAGTGAAGGCAGTCACGCTTACTACTACACCGCCGGTGCCGCTATTTTTGTAATTGATATTTTTAACAGTTTTTTTTTATAATTTGAAAATTCGTGACTTTTCAGTCAGTGTGTATTTTTTTTCTGAAAAGGCAATCCAGTTTCCTACAATTTTGTCTCAGACGTCATTTCTATTAGATTTGCCGCTTTTGTGCTATGTGATTTATTGAAAATTTTCGAATACGCCATTTTGAAAAATTAACCATTTGTCAAAATGGCCGAATTCTAGAACAAACATGGTTCATTGCGAAGTTTCATGGAATTCTGAGATGTGAAATCTAAAATTTGTTTATTTTTTCGCTATTTGGCGTAGAACTGCTCAGCTGCGCCTTCACCGACTGAGCTAAGGGAGGTCAAAAGTGTTATAGATTCTGAATAGAAGTTAGGGTATGAAAGGCTTTATTTAACGTGATACGGTCTGGAAGCCTTTGTTCTATTCCACTTAGCATTTTATGGAGTATAAACATCAGCAACCAGAAATTATGCAATAACAAAACTGCTTCCCCATGTATGAGAAGCAAATTTCATGCATGACATCACAGTAGTGTCCGAGATTTACTCTCTAAAAAATCAGAAGTTACAGATTGCAAATCAGCCATCCTGCCGTGAACTTTAATAAACTATGAAAGATTTCTATAATCTTACCAAATGAAATATGGAATTTTAGGCTCTCCCCAGTTGGAGAGGGATGGTGAGGGGTATCTAAATTTATTGTCTGTCAGATCAAATCCGGATGCATTGTGCGGTGCATTTCTCAGGATTATTCAAAATTGAGCATGTTTTATAATTGTTGACCAGTAAATGAATTATTCGGCATAGTTGTTGGGGACCTCAATATAGATCGCAAGAGCAGTGCGGAGGGTGTTGTAAAATTGGCCCATGATTTTAAAAATATATTTTTGTGGAAAAAAAAACTTTTAATTTTAATTTGATTTTTTTCAGTGTAGGAGTAAAATTTATGTTGTTGATACTTTTCAATGAAAGTTCGAACAATTTTCTACAATTCAGTCATTTACCACATTTTACATGTTTGTTTTTGGTAGCAACAGGCCTTAGGCGATTTTTTGTTTTTTTTTATGGATATTTACAGAATTTAGCGTGAATTTTTCTAACGGTGTAGTAAACCTTAACAAACTCTCGTTTTCCTGTGGTTCGCTGATCAAACAAATAACTAATATAAAATGGTTGTTTTAGCTTATCCTGATATTCACTGTTCATAATGTACCTACTCACTTGTATGCAAAGTTCAATAGCTGCGAAAATGATTCTTTTATATATATATATATTAATATGGGCTTCAAATTCCCAAAACCAGACTCAGACTACCCAACTAGAACACTACTACTGCTACAAATCCTGAAAACAGGCAGCCATTGCTTCCATGCCCTGACCCTAACCTGTGCTAGCATGCTATTTGTACAATTTAATGGAAAATATTCAGTAGAATTGCGTTCACAATTACTCTTGTTGCTAGTTTACCCCTCACTCCTCGCTGTAAATAAATGGGAATGCGCTTCAAGATATCATCTTTTAACTATACCGCATCATCAGCAGTATTTATTATTTTCATTTACAAATAGATTTATATTCATTCTATATTCATCTCAATATATTCTATACAAGACATGTCTGAACATTCCACAAATCCAGCCAAAAATCAAATTCAACGAAACCCGTTCTCCTCCCGGAAAGTCCCACTCGTATCCGATTATCCCGGAATTCCACTCCCCCCATCCGCCCAATTCCCCCCCACCTATCATCCACCCATCCGATTATCTCTCTATTTACTATTGCAAACACAAACACACACACCATTAAACGTGCGTTCATCATCCGTGTACTCTTCCCGTTTTCTCCGCGCCGATCTTCGCGCCGGCTCTCTCCAGGTTTGCGTTCCGGTGAAATTACGCCCAACAGTCTGAACACGTCGCGCCCGGGCAGTGCAATGTCCAGCTCAACGACCGCCTCCGGTGTGGTGTACCGACGATCCCTGCCCCAGTCGGCCGGTCCGCAGCGGAAGCCCCGGCCCGCCTCGATTGCCGTTACCGGCGTGTCGGCGGGCCCGAAAGAAGGTTTGTTTTTGCTCACACATGCCTACATATCTGTACATTTTTTTTCTTCATTCCATTCATTCATCTATCCATTCACACCCACACACGTTTCCTTCTTCCTCCTGTTTTCATCGGAATCATTTTTATCGCGTTCCCGAGCACCTCCTCCAGCCTAGCCCGTCCACGAAATTCCATGTCCTCCCACTTAGTCCGTAAGCTAGCAGTTACTCTCTGCGCACCATGTCGGAAGAATGGTACCAGACCAAACACTGGACAAAACTCCATAACGACACGCATACCCTATCAAACGAACACTTTCTTGTGTATTTTTGTGTACAAAGTTAAATTTGAAACAGCATTCGGAATGCTAACCCCGTAAATTCCTCGAAATCCTTGTATTTTGTTTATTTACTATTCTTGTGTTCTTTTATTCGTAGTTTGATTTTGTGTTGATTTTTTTTAAACAGTACCGGTTTACAGTTTATATTTTTATTGGAATTAAATACCTTCAGTTTTCTAGCAAATGGATTCTTTGTCTCCATGATTGGCGTATGATTACCGTAAATTTTAAATTTGTTATAATTTTATGATGCACAATAGAGTCCGAACCGGTGTAAGTTGCAAATCACAGAGGTTTATTCAAGGAGATTATCTAACTAACATTTGCACTTGATTGAGATTTTGGTTTCAGATCGATGGATGGTAAAACGAGTACGCCGGATGTGTTTGGAATGGTCTGTTTGAAACGGGATTCAGTGAGTACGTTTACAGCAACGGTCAAGACGAGTAAGTACATAGTGTTTGCTAACTTGTGGAAATTCTTTTTTGAATTAGAGATAATGATAGCATTTAAGGTGGAACTCATCGAAAACCAAAGTACGAAGAGCTTGATATTTCAATTGAATAAAGCTGCGTTATTGCAAAGATCAACTGTAACTGTACAGAAGACCAATCCTCATTGTACAAATTCTGGTGATCTCATGTATTTTGTGCAATTAAGGAGAGGGAAGGACTTTTTTCGCGTGATAATTGCTTTATTGGTAAGCAAAACCGGTCGCCACTAGGCCACCGAGCCTCCTACATGACAACAAACTGCAGGAATTAACGATTGACGTTATGGGCTCAATCTTGGGTCGAGCATGCAACATATTTTTCAAAGGATATCACTTTTTCAGATCATTACGATTGAGTTCTTACAGTGTTCTATAGGGGCCTTCCTTAACTCAGTCGAAAAAGGCACAGCTATAAAGCAAGACCATGCTGGAGGCGGCTGAGTTCTATTACCGATCCGGTCTTGAAATTTTTCAGATTGAAGAATGTCTCGACTTCCTTGGACATAGAGTATGATTGTACTTGCCACACAGTTATATTAATAAAAAGCTCTTAATTACCAATTGTGGAAGAGCTCCAAGAACACTTGTTTTTGATTCAGTTCCAACCTGGATCGGGTATCAAGTTTGGGTCGGTTTGTTGTCTGTCAAACGTCATTGTAATCGTTTGTTTTTGTAATCTGGCTTGGATTGAGTTTCGCACGGGTTGGAACTGGTGCCAACCTGGATAATAAACCAATTAGCTATAAGTTGAGGGCCGGTGTAAGTCCCAGTAGGGACGTAATAAAGCAAAAAAAAACTGTATGAAAAACTAATATGACTCGATTTATTCGACTTCTTCGTATTAAGATCAGGAGTTATCCAAGCACTGCAAAAAAAACTATATAGAATACTAACATGACACGCACATTGTAAATCCAAATTGTATGTGTCTCTTGTGAAAATATCTAAACATCTCCCAAATCTGCTTAACTCTGTAACCGTTTGGTCACAAGTTCATATGTTTTTCTCGTTTATGTTGTATATTCAGAACCTTCACGTTTCTTGTGCAAGAACAGCAGTATACCACAGAAGTGATAGGGTTCTGTACCGCTGTGAAAATGTTGTGCCGTTGTGGGATTAGGGAAATTTGTAAAAAGAACGGCCATTGCCCAAAACCGGCCTCTTTTAATATCAGGTGTCCAAAAATGAGGAACATTGACGAAAATTTTACTCAGTCGACTGAGTGAATCCAATCTTTACTTTTCTCATCTTTGGGAAGTTTTACCTGGACAAACCTGGAAAAGCCTGGGAAAACATGAGGCAAATTAACTCATAGCTGTTATGTGATTTATGAGTTAACTAAAGTCAAATTTGCATCGTTCTCATTCGCCGTGTAGAGCATTTCGTTTGTCCGAAATTCGATTATTCCAATGAGCGAGTCGATCAGATCTGTCAAACGAGGTGAGATGCAAACGTCAATATAAATTTTACGTGTGTTCATGTCCTTGCTCACGATATGACGCGATCGGATGAGTAGATGGCGGTAGTGTTTAACGGTTTTTAAATATGGCGTATTGGGCAAGAATTTGAATGTAGCTTCTATGAGATGGCACGTCGGTTCGTCGGTGAATATAGGTCGAAGCACAAAAGGTCGAATTGACAAAAGGTTGAATGAACAAAAGGTCGAATCAAAGTTAGGGTGACAAAAAGTATAAATACACATGATGCTGCATGGATGCTAAAAGAACATCACGTGAGTTCGTTTTGTCGATTTTGACGGTACCTTTTGAACTTTTCGATCTTTCAACTCGACGTTACCTTATCGACTTATTGTCCATTTCGAACTTTTGTCCCTTTAAGTTAAATTTGACCTGGAGTCCTTTTAAATTTAAAGCTACGGTAGATACATGTGCAAAGGGTTATGTAGGGTTTCACCTTAAAAAAGCGATTCATCCAAACAAAAACATATGAATACATAATAGGGGAAATGACGGCTTCGGCATGACAGACTATTTTTGGCAACACAAATTGAAACACTATTTTCACTGGATTTTCTTACGAAAACACTTCGCTGAATGCATGCAAACGATTCTTTATGCTTTCAGCTTCAATTTGACTATCTTTTTACCACTGAGAAAAAGCAATCTAGCAAGGTTTTCTTGAAATGCAACACACGCACTACAAATTGTAGCTGATTTAGAGTTGCCGATAATAGAACAGCAGATTTACATGCAGTTCAAATGGAACGGTTTCCGAAGAAAAACTGGTTGCCGACAATACTCGCTCTCACTAGAGAAGATTGGAGCTTTGTAAAAGCGTTTCAAAACAGTTTTTGACAATTCTTTCGACTGAAATTGTTAGAGCAGCTGGCAGCAAAAGATTGTAAACAAACCAATACTGCATATGTGTGCGTTCCTTAGAGAAAAAGGCTATAGAAAGAAGGTCGCTGCTTAGGTTGCCGAGAATACGTACATTCCCCTATATGAAATATGAAAACATATAAATACAAATTTTACTTCCAGCAGACCATTCCTCCAAACATTCAGGTAAAATCGATCCATCGATCAGGGATCGAAATTAGATTTCTATTGCATACTACCCATACTGCAAACTAACGGAAACAAACTTTTTTCTACCCCTTCCTTTCTACCACGACAGAGAAACCACCACTTCCGAAAATTTCCGCAGCGAACAACACCAGCTCCACTAGTTTGGAGCGCAAGCGTTCTCAGAATGGGGCCAGCACTCCGGCCAGGCCACCCACGGCACCATCGGTCGACAGCGCAGCCAAGAAGCACCATACGCCGTCCGAGAAGCCACGGCTAGGAGGCGGTGGCGGCAGTGCCCGAGGTACACCGAAGGCGTCGTCTACTCCGCTTCAGTCACCCGGACCGGAAAAGGCCAACCGCACGATGCAGGATTCGCTGCAGAAACAGAAGAAACAACCAGTTGCCGATGATCATTCACAACAGCCACAGCAAATGTCTTTGGTGAAGGAAGGTTCTTCGATCAGTGCCAAGAGCAGCACCGAAGAGAAAGTTGAAACTGTAGAGCAGAAACAACAGAAACAAGAGGAAGTGGTAGTGCAATCGGGCGATGTTACCACCGTCATTGAAACTGTTGAGCAGCAACAACCGCAGGTGGTTGTTGTAAGCGAAACGAAGATTGTGGAAGAAGTGCATGTTGAACAGAGAAAGATCGAACAGTTGCCAAGAGTCATGGAAGTCAGCAGTCACGAAGAAAAAAAGGATGAAATGAAGGAAAGTACCACGGCTGGCAACAAACTGGATCCGAATCAGGCTTTGGATGGTTCCAGTGTAGACATGATGACCGCCTCCATGATTGCCAAGCGCATCAACACGGAAGAAGAAGCCAAAGCAGCTCTGGCCGAGCGGCGACGTCTGGCTCGAGAAGAAGCCGAGCGTCAAGCTGAACTTGAACGACAGCGAATTGCTGCCGAAGAGGAAGCTGAACAGCAACGTCAGCTTGAGGAGGAAGAACGCCTTCGCAAGCTAGAGGAAGAGACGATCCGTTTGGTCGAAGAGCAGCGCCGTCTCGAGGAAGAGCGACTGCAGCAGGCCATTCAAGATGCCGAGAAACGTGAAGAGGATGAGCGCCTACGTCGGGAGGACGAAGCCCGCCAGAAGGTAGAACGCGAGGAAGCCGAAAAGAAGGCTCGCGAAGAAGCCGAACGGCAACGCATCGAAATGGCCGAAAGACTTAAGAAAGAGGAAAAGGAACGCGAAGAACGACGCAAGCGAGTGGAAGCGATTATGTCCCGAACGCGAGCCAAGGGAAGCGCCAACAATACTCCAACTAAGGTAAGTTTTAGCCGTATTGATTGATGATTTTGTTGGTTGACTATTTTTCTTCCGCAGCAATCCGAAGAGAACAAAGATAATGCCATGAGCAAAAGTGTCATTGTGACGTCCAACACAGCGGCCGCCATGGCTGAATCGACGATGTCGATGACCGACTCAATGCTGGGTTCGATCGAACAGCAGCAACAGCAGCCGGCCGTTGAATCTACTCCCCACGTCCCTCCAACAGTCGAAGAGCAAACTGAATCGCTCGAGCAGGGCGTCCAGTCTCTGTCCCTGGCTGAAGGAGACCAACAGAACCAAGAGAACAATAACAGCAACGATAGCAGTCTTACCAGCAATCACAACAATAACAACAACAGCAGCAGTGGCACAACCGCCCCCGTCAGCAACAATGCCGAGTATGAGCGCTCGGTAACGGAGAAGGAGAACCTTCTACTAGGTAGCTTTAACAATAATATGAACAGTAATGCCACCAGCAACGGAGGCAGTGATAACGGTAGCAGCCAGCAGCCCTCGTCGCTAGAGTCCAGCTCAATGCCCGCCGTTGGTGCCACCACCAACGGAAAGTTGACACCCGGGGCGACGACTATTGCCGAAACGACCGAGCTGATCATCGAAGATGCGATCATGAGCGGTCAAACCAACGGTCACAAGAACGGCAGTATTGATAATGTGTTGTAAGTAGACGTTTTTCTATTGTTTCTATTACACTAACTCCCCCTTTTAATGGCTTGAATTCCTCGTGCGAAGATAGTTTTGAAGCACTAGAACGCTGCGTTCCTGATGTAAACATGTTCGCTTCACTGTCTGCTTTGGTTCTGTTAAAGTTGCTATTTGTAGTACTAGATTGTTACGAAGTCAAGTACTACCAAACGTGTGGATTAATCCGCTAAAATTGTTCTGCGCGCAGCTAGTGTTGATCCGCCTTTCTAATGCTCACATTGTGCTCCGATTTTTTTTTCTAGATTACGTGTGGCGGATATTTAAGAGTGCTAAGAGTTTGGGTTGTACGCAGGAAAGAGAGAAAGTGTGTTGACAGAGCGAAAGTGAGAGATACTTGAAAGAGAGTACAAAATTAAAATACCGAATCCCAATTGACAATAGGTACCTATATCTGTACTAGACGCTGTTTAGTGAGTTATGCCGTTTTTAATCTATTCTTATGCCAAGCAATGTGTTTTGTCGTGTAATTTCTGTGTAACCATAAATAATGCGCTCCGAAAAAAAATTCAGCAAAAAAACTTGCTAATCAACTCGTTTCCCCACTCACGATCACACAAAAATCTAATCAAAACTCTCACTAGCTGTTTTAAAACTTTAGTGGTGATTATTAGTTTAATTTCAGAAGTACTAGATTTCTAAAATAGGTGTAATGCAGTGTAACCAATCTAGTACAGTATGTTGTCTTAGTTGCTCTATTCCCGTTGCGAGCTTCATATGAAGCAATGTTGGTAATAGAATAGTTTTAATGTATTTTTTTATTTACCTTCATATGCGGTACTAGAACAACAAGCTTATTTTTATTCATCCCCTTTCCCCCTGCGTGTCGTCGAACGAAGCCAGCAGCCTGTCGAATGTTTTGCTAGCCGCCGGAAACTTGGACAGCCTCATTAACCCTCGTTTTCCACGTTTGCTCTATCTATTCCAAACCCGATTCTAGTACACAAAATACACCGGCTGTTGACGGTACCGCCAAATTCCTGGCGCACTTCGACACTAACAGTCAACCACCCATAGAGTTTGCGCTCTCGTCAGCAGCCGACGACGTCGAAGGCAGTGAAAATCACAACAATCAGTTGGATTCGACCTCCATAAGTACGACGACGACAACAACGACCGGTACGACAGTTGTCGGCCAGTTGCTCGATTTCAGTAGTTTCCAATCGTTGCCCGACGAGGCAGAGCAGCCAAATGCGGCGACCGTCAGTGAAGATGATCCCTTCAACCTTAACATCGACAACAACAACAGCATCATTAACAACAATGACATCAACAGCAGTCATGCTGCTGACCTTATCGATAGCAGTAGTAATGGTACCTCAACTTCCTCCTCCAACCCTCTATTCGCCAGCAGCGATGCAAATCTGATTAGTAATAGCAATTTCCTAAATAATAATTCCACGAGGCTAGTCGCAACATCCGACAGTCAAGACAACCGAGGTAAATCAAGTTCAGTTTTGTAAATCTATAAATTCTGTTTCATTTGGAGTACTAGAACCAATCACCTGAACCCCTACCATCAGGGTGGTTGGTTACTCTCATCTCGTGGTGTGTGACTTTCCATAGTTGTATCATATTTATGTTATACTATCGACAGAAATACAAAGTACACCGTTGTTCTTATTTAGCCTAGTCACTCAAATTGTATAATTTGTGGTACTAGCTTAAAGCAGTACAGCGGTGTACTTTGTATGTCTGTCGATAGTATTAGACTTTAATTTGCAAAGTTTCATTAAGAATCGCTTCAATCTCTAGAATTTCAATTCATTTGCACAATCTATCAGTTTCTAAAGTAGTACTAGAATTTTGCGCGTGATTGTATTTAGATTAGCAAACTCCAATCTTTCAAAATTCAACTTTGTTCACATTCTAGTACTACATCGTCCCACCAATCAACCAATCTTCACAACTGTCTTTGTCTCATCAGTTTATGTGTATTCTTTCTTTTCTATTGTTTCCTTCAACCCTCCAACAACAACTACAACTGCAACAACACCTGCCATCCACTGATCCGCTTCCAACTATACAAACACACATACATCTCCACAACGCTCCATCCCTTCTTGGATTCCACTGCTTTACCTGCCTCTGTGTAAACTTTGTGCTTTCCACCTTATCACAAAAACGCATACCACCTACACATAAACAAAAATACCATAGACCTCTCCTACAAACAATCGGCACTGGTATTGTACGTCATCGCATTTATTTATGGTTGCCTGCTGGCCGCCATCCGATCGAGTGATTAGTATACAGTTAGTAAGTGTTTGCGCTGTGCTACGCCGTGGATTCTAGCGAGTTTGTGTTTTTTTTTCTTCATCTGAATGGGTTTGTACGGTGTGGGATGGATGGTGAGATTCAAAGAGAGAAATTGATTGACAGTTATTTCTTGTGTTGAATCAATCAGGGTGGTTTTTCGTAATGAAAGGATCTCGTTTTTTCTTCGTTTTGGAACTAATGCAGGGAATGTAGCAATCTGTTTGATTTGTCTGTATATTGGTGTAATACATAATTTTAATGTCCAAGAACGCTAGAGGTCATAGACTGACGAACATGAAGCGGTCGTAGGGACCATCCATGAATGACGTATCCCTATCGTAGTGTATTTTGCTATACCTAATACATGGCTGGTGACCCCCCACTAAAATTCTACGTCATTTGTGCATGTTCTCTTACTAATATAATAAATACATATATCTGAAAACGACTACTCAGACACCACTGTAGGGCTCACCGCCACAATTTTTAGCCGTGAGCTGTTTCGACTCTTTAAATCAGCATTTAAAAAAAAGTCCACTTAATAGGTCTGAAAAACGTATTAATGATGCAGATGTCAAAATTTTGCAGGGCGAAAATTGAATCTTAAAAAGCGTCTATTTCCCATTTATTAATTTGTTCGATGATACTACGGGTTATAAAAACTCAAGAACTACTCAAAAGACGTAAGGTACACCGGAGCAAGTGAAACGGTGGATACAACTCATTTTAACAGCAATTTCTAAGGTCATATCAGTCTGAAAATTTAGGTTGCAGTCAAATGTAAAGCATACATTGGATACAAACAAATATTTATTGTTTTCATCCCCATCTCACCTATTTCCGATGCTCTATAACAGCTGTGGGTTAGAATCACTACGCCAAGTCGAGTTATTAGTGTAGGCGTGATCTATTTACCTCCAGACCGCCGCAACGATGTCATTGGAATTCAATGACTATACTCTGCAGCTCGAAGATTATAACCAGGCCTTTGCTCCGGTGGAGTAAGTCGTACGATAGGTCTTTCCAGGTTGTGCCTCAATCGGTTCTATCGGCTGCTAGTTCAACGACTAGTTTTCGACGGTTTCGCTTTACATGGCCTCACGCAGATCAATGGTGTATTGAATAGGAACGCTCGCTTTCTAGACCTTGTTCTGTCTAACGAAGCTGCAACTCTCGCAAGCACCGTTTCGGAAGCCATAGAACCTCTGATCTTTCTGGATGCAGACCACCCTGCTTTAGACGTCCTGATTAACCTCCCAGCGCCAATCGTTTTTGAGGATTGTTCCGAAAATAATCGTACACTCTGTCGAGCCGACTATATTGCGATAAGTGCTGCTATTTCCGGTATCGACTGGCGACCATTAGAATTAGCTGGATGTGTTGATGATGCCGTTGAATATTTCAGTCAAATGATTTGGGATATCATGGCTGAATTTGTACCTATTGCCCGCCCCGCACCAAAGCCACCGTGGTCTAACGGTTACTTGCGTCGACTGAAACGGTATAGGGCTAAATTGCTACGAAGATACTGCCAAAATCGTTCGTACATTACGAAGCAGGAGTTCAACCGCACAAGTAACGACTATAGGAAATACAAAAGATTCCTGTATCGACGATATGTCTTCCGTACGCAATCATCTCTTCGCAGAAATCCAAAGCGTTTCTGTGGTCGTATGTAAACTCTAAAAAGAACGAAGTCGGTTTGCCATTGTCAGTTCATCTCGATGAGCAAACCGCTTAATCTAAACCAGAGAAATGCCGCCTATTTGCTCAACATTTCATGAGTTCGTTCAATGCATCTTCGGTCTCACCAAATCAAGTCACGATTGCTATAAGCGATTCTCCAACAGATGCATTTGAGCTCCGTCCGTTTCACATCAGTGAACATACCGTCAATCTAGCTCTTCAAAGGTTGAAACTCTCGTTTGCTGCCGGGCCAGACGGCATTCCTGCGTCCGTTCTGAAGCTGTTTTCAGAGTCGTTGCTCACTCCCTTGGTGAAGTTATTTAATCTCTCACTAACAGGAGACTAAATTTCCTGAAGCGTGGAAATTTTCGTATATGTTCCCCGTCCACAAGAAAGGCGATAAAAGGAATGTCCAGAATTACAGAGGCATCACATCAATATGTTGCTGCTCCAAAGTATTCGAGATCATCATCAATGAGGCGCGCTTCAGCTCTTGTAAAAATTACATCTCCACAGCATGGATTCTACCCAAAACGGTCAGTTACAACCAATTTGACCGAATTCGTGTCGCTCTGCGTTCGGACCAAGGACTCTGGCGGACAAATCGGCGCTGTTTAAACTGATCTTAAGACTGCATTTGACCGAGTAGACCTCAACATTCTTTTGTGCAAGCCTGAGAAACTCGGAGTGTCTGGATCCTTCATCTCGTGGTTCAAATCTTACCTTACGAACCGTTCGCTTTACGTTAAGATTGGATTCTCTCGTTCTGAAGTGTTCACGAACGTTTCCGGCGTTCCCCAAGGAAGTAATCTGGGACCCCTTATGTTTTCGCTTTTCGTCAACGAGCTTTCGTGTCTACTGCCACCTGGATGCCGGCTATTCTACGCTGACGATGTCAAAATGTATGTGGTTATCAATTGCATCGCTGATTGTGACGAGTTGCAGCTGATTGTAGATCGTAAGGCAGAGTTGGTGCTCCCGTAATTTTTTGACGCTCAGCATCAACAAGTGCAATGTGATATCATTTTACCGCAAACAAAACCCGATAATATTTGATTATTTCATTTCCGGGCAAACATTAGAGAGGATTAGCCGGGTCAAAGATTTGGGGGGTAACACTCGACTGTGAATTGACCTTCAAACCGCACTACCCAAGTAACCACAGGCACGTTATTTCGCCTTTTTGGCTATGTACGGGCCTCATCAGAACTTGCCAACACTGGTATAGCCGTTGTTCAGCTGTATATAACCAAAAAGGTGAAATAGCGTGCCTATGTTTACTTGGGTACAATGACATCCTGACTAAAGCTAACAGGCAGCTTGGCTTTATGTTCAAAATATTTGAAGACTTTCGCGTTCGTTAGTACGTTCAATCTTAGAGTATAGTCAACCGGTGGAAACTTACGATTTTAAATTGGCTCACTGCTTGACTAGCCTATTGGTCCCAAGCAAATCGATTAGCGTACCCCATTCTAGTTGAAATTCTAGTACTACACGATGTTTGTTTTGATTCGCTATGAAAGTTTGACAGATAAAATGAGGGGTTCGTGCATAGACGTCTGCTGCGAGATGTACAAAATTACGCTGTCTAATCACTATCTCAGGTGCGTAAAAGAAAAGCTGCCGAAGTAATTCGGGGGAATCAATCTCACTGGTAATAATCTTAGCAGCAAACACAGCTTGAGCGTTCCGTCTTCTTTGTTCCAAGGTGTCAATGCCAAGCAGATGACAGCCATCCACGTAAGTCGGCAAGTTTACTACAATAGATCAAATTACTGGTCGCAGTGGTGTTAGGTCCCGAACAGAGGGAAAAAAAAGACGGCAAGTTAGCCGTGTCACGCCAAGGCAGATGACGAAGCGCGTAGCGAACAAACATTCTCTGTACACTCTCAAATCTGGCTATTCAGCATTCCTGGTATGGGCACCAGACGACAGCACTATACCAGGCGGTGGAAACTAACGATTTTAAATTGATTCACTGCTTGAGTAGCCTATTGGTCCCAAGTACTTCTATGGCGTACCCCATTCTAGTTGAAATTCTATTACTACACTATGTTTGTTTTGATTCGCTATGAAAGTTTGACAGATAACATCAGGGGTGTGTGGATTCATGCAGAACATGCAGGGGTGAGTGAAATAGCTTGGGACTGCTTGGGACCGTTGTTCTGGTACTGAGTGAGCCAAAAATAATAATGATTTTCTTCGGGACCCAGTGGTCTTAGAGTTACCTCTATGACTATACCATAGAGGTACAGTGACCGGCATAAAAAAAGATCCACCGATGTCGAATGTAAAAATGCATGTAAAACTCATTTATTTTTCAAAAAGTCAATTAATATGATTTATGTCTCAGATAACTAAATAACAAAAGTTTATTTTGACTCAACGATATTGGTAATTTTTATTCCAAAACTTAAAATAAACAACAAATTCAATTCGCATGACTTTTTGAGGTATGACATAAAAAAAGATCCATTTTATGTTTCATGTGTTATAATCATACAAAATCGATTATGATCAGCTGGTCAGTAGTTAATATGACCTCCCTTCGCTTCGATAATGGACTGCAGTCGTTTCGGCATGCTTTCGAAGAGGTTTCTGAGGTGCTGTGGATCCAGTTCATTCCAGGCCTTCTCCAGGGCAGCAAAATATGTCTGCTTGTTGGTTACGCCGGTCTTTTCCACTCTGTTATCGAGAATTGCCCAGAGATTCTCGATTGGGTTCAAGTCAGGGCTCTAGGGTGGCCATTCCAAGGGTTTGATGCGACAGGCTCGAAAGAATGCGAGCGTTTTCTTTGCCGTGTGCTTGGGATCGTTATCCTGCTGGAAGATGTAGTTGTCTTCCAATTTCATTTTTAGCAAAGACTCTTCCAAATTTTCGTTAAGAATGTCAATATAGCCTTCCGCTGTCATGATCCCATTGATCAGGACCAGATTTCCCACACCAAACCATGAGAAACAACCCCAGACCATAATATTTCCTCCACCGTGCTTCATGGTTGCTTGAAGATGTTTGTCCTGGAGCCCTTCATCGCTTTTCCGCCATACTCGCAAACGTCGTTTTTTGTTAAAAAGCTCAAACTTCGATTCATCTGACCAGATAACACGTTTCCAGAATTCCAGGGGCTTATTGATGTGGGTTCTTGCAAACCTCAGACGCTTTTCCTTATTGACCTTGCTGATGAACGGCCGCTTCCGAGCAAAATAACTCTTTAAGCCGTGCTCAGCAATGCGGCGTCGAATTGTTCGTTCGGATATTGTTAGGTTCAACTTTTCTTTCACTCCGCGGATGGTAACAAACGGATCCTTTTTGATTTCCCGGATGATTCTGGAGTCCTCTCGGTGATCAGATTTACGTTTAAGTCCTCGTCCAGATCGATCTGCAACGCTTCCAACCCGTTGGTGCTTCAAAATTATCTTTTGAACCGCACCGCGACTCACAGAGTATTTTTCGGCAATTTTGCGCTGAGATTCGTTTTTCTCAAAGTCACGAACGATTAGATTCCGAATTTGATACGAGATTTTCTTTCCACCCATATTTGAACTTTCAAAAACTCGTTACTTTCGCACAATACGTTTACTTCTCAGCGCTGCAGCAGAGATTTGCGATGAATGTAAATAAACAAATGTCAACATTAGGAATTGTGAGGGGTATGTCAACGGAATTTACACGGCAAATTTTTTTTCTACAGGTGGATCTTTTTTTATGTCATACCGTAAACAAGGGGTGCGTTTGAATTTTGTTAGTGATTGACCTGTACTGATTCGTATATTGAAACTCTTGCACGTACTATAACAAGTGGTACTAGAACAAGCTTAAAACGTGCAATAATATAGTTTTTAAAAAGTGCTTGGGAAAGAAAACCGATTTATCTAACAAGTGAGCCGGTGGATCTTTTTTTATGCCGGTTACTGTAACTCTAAGACTAGAAGGTCCCGAAATAACGTGCTCAACTTTTTGGCTCAGCTCTGGTACTCTCTTCGGTCCCAAGCTAATCGATTCACCCCTCGAAACATAGGTAAAACCAATAACCCCTCATTTTATCTGTCAAACTTTCATAGCGATTCAAAACAAACATTGCGTAGTACTAGAATTTCTACTAGAATGGGGTCCGTTAATCGTTTGCTTGGGACCAATAGGCTAGTCAAGTAGTGAGCCAATTTAAAATAGTTAGTTTCGTATTTTGTTATTTCGTAGCATGCTATAAATACGAATGGCATAAAGATATATTGTTTTAAATATTTTAGTAGGGGAAAAGTTGGCTTCGGCAATACCTTAACCTATTATCGTCAGGGGGTAAACAACGTCCTTGAGAGCTCAAAGTTGAAATTTGTTTTTAGGTTTGCTCAGCTTACTGATTATCAGCAAATGCTCACATTTCTCGCGTAACTTTTCAAAAGGTCCTAAGTAACAAATGTAAACAAATCGTGTTCATTGATACAAACTAGTGGTCTCTATCATTACGTCAACATATTCCTACCCATTCCTTTCTTGATCAGCGCTGGTATTACCTTGTTTTAAATCAGCAGCATTTAAACATTGAGGATGATTACTAGTCCAAAGCAACGTCAATTGGTTCTCTGTGTAATTAAAGCTGATCTTTCAATAACGGAGTTGCAGCCTCGTAGGGTCAATCATGTTCATGCTTATGCTCAATTATTGGTTTTCTATCATTGTAAAGGGTGGAACGATCAAAAATTGGTCGACTCAAATTTGGCGATTTTTGTTTAATCGTGCATTTAAAAAACTTGAACACCCCTCATTTTGTAGGTCTGTGCGTACGGAATGTTGCCTTAATTTTGTTTTTGCCATTTTCTATTCAGTTATCAAAATGGCGTCGAAGGAAGAGGAACCGCGTGTCTAAATTTTGTTCGCGCATAAGCGTAATCTAATTTATTCCCACGCAGATTGATTGCGTTATAATGAACGATGAAATGTACGTCAAGGCGGCTTTCAAGCAGCTCCCAGATCAAAAGCTACCGAAAAAGGAAAGGTTCAAGCAGAAAAAGATGTCAAAGTGCCCGAAAAAATACTTGGTTTGGCAGCCGATTTGCACTTGTAGGCTGAAAAGTGAAATTTTCGTGACAAATGGCATTGTCAACCAAGATATTTATGAAAAGAAATGTTTGCAAAAACCAATGTTGCCTTTTTCGAAGAAACACAGTTGTTCCATACAGGTAACTCTAAGACTAGTAGGCCCCGAAGAAACGTGCTCAACTTTTTGGCTCAGCTCTACTACAGGTACTATCTTCGGTCCCAAGCTAATCGATTCACCCCTCGAAACATAGAAAAAATCACTAACCCCTCATTTTATCTGTCAAACTTTGATAGCGAATCAAAACAAACATTGTGTAGTACTAAAAATGACTGGAATGGGGTACGTTAATCGATTTGCTTGGGACCAATAAGCTAGTCAAGTAGTGAGCCAATTTAAAATCGTTAGTTTCGTATTGATTGTTGGTTGTTCCGTGTTGTTTTGGCCAGACCTCGCTTCCTGTAACTGGCTTAGGAACGGTATACATACCACCAACCGATTGCAAGTGTATGTACCATATGTATCATACCGATGCAATGATTTTTCAAATTGCTAGGATTGAATCATTTATGCTTTTCTCATGCGTATTAAGTGAACTGAACAGTATTTTGTATGAAATTATGCTAAAAACATTGAAAACCGTTATCCGTGCGATGTGTTCCCATTTGAATAGCACGGTGTAGAAAAGCAAAAAGTCCTCGGGCAGGTTAAATGGCTCTAATGTTGGCCTATGGATTCTAAGATTGGGCCCATCGCTATTGCTATTTTTCAATTTTATCTAGATGAACGCGGTGGATATTTTTTGTCGCTATTGAAAATTTAGTCGATTGCTGAATTTTTGTATGCGTCCAAATTAGGGGCATTTAGGCCGACATTACATCTATTTCCCCTATTAGGGATATTCATAAAGCGCATCGTAAACGTATGCCGCTCTTCGCATGTCGGTCCCATGGCAAAAATCAGCAAGTCGAGAAAATCGCATTTTAAGCTTGATTCGTACCATTGCTTCTTATGTGATGAGACAACCAATTTGGCTGTCTTTCCAAACTTTTTCAGAACAAAGTTATTGAGTTCATCCAGTATTAAGAAAATATGGGTGATCAGCTACCATTTGCATTGTAAAACTCAGTTTTGACAAAAACTGCTATGGGACCGACATGCGAAGAGCGGCAGTATACACCCTCGTAAATGCGTAAACTTTCATTACACTCCAATCGAGACTCGAATGGACCCTGTTATTTTTACGATAGTGTATAATGTTAGCAAACTTATTATGCATATTTTGTAAGATCTGGATCTGGATCAGCTGGGTTGCCGTTTAAAAAAAAATATGCACTAAAAAAAAATCCCAAAATTTCTTTAAAAAACGAGAAAAAAAATGTCAACAACTTCAAAAACAAGAAAAGCTCCTTTTTTAAGATTATTATACTTATGTTGAATTGAAAGCTTATCAAAAATGTTAACTTTTCTGAAATTGTTTCAATAAACACTTCAAAAATACCCAAAATCGTAAAACATAAGACTTTAGTAAATTCTAAATTTTTGAACTTTTTTTCGCGCAATATTTTTTTATAAACTTAAATAGTAGCTTTTTAACACCGTGCCCAGACACCCCGGGGCAAGATGAGCAATAATTAATGGATGTAAACTTTAAGGGTGTGCCGGGTGGCGATCTTACCCCGTCTATCCCTGCTTTTGAACTGATTGAAGACTATAAATAAGAATCCGAAATCGACCGACGGAGAAAGGTAGGCACGGTTAGAAAAAAAGGACGTTTCACCAAATCTATTTAGTTTAAAAAAACATTTTTTTTTAATTCTGTCACCAAGGGACGATCAGGTGATAAGGCTGATAACGAACTAATGTTCACCGGATACATTTGGTTTGCGTTTTCCTGTAAATACACTGTTTCTTTTCTGGATTTCTGTCACATATGAATCGAATTATTGGTACTGGTATTTCTATGGTGTCTATTCCACTATTGTATCAAAGCAAATACTAACACATTTATCTTTTTCTCACACTTTCCTACCATTCCAGACTTGTCGCTCTTGTGAACGAGTAAATTGCAATAGGTTAAAGTACGCGCGTGTGACGTCCCATCATTATCTTCTTTCCATCCGATGATCCTCGAAGGGAGGGAGGGGCCGGTTGAGGTTCATGCTGCCCTCCACAGAAAGCATTATTGAGAAAAATGGTAAAATTGAGACAGCTTCGATTCGTGGATGCATGCATGCAGAAAAGAAATAAGCAAAGTTGCAGTTTGTGCTTATTTACTCACCCCAGAAGGCAGAAGGAGAACAATAGAACAGCACACACATTCACTCAGACACACATAATGAGGAGAGACGTAAGGAAAACAGAAGCATGCATACTAAGAAATTTATCTATATGTAAGGGTGCGTGTGTGTGTGTGTTTATGAGGAACTGGAATGTCGAGTGAACGCGATAGATAAAAAGTGTACATGAAAGCTTTAGGTTAGAGGAAGCAGCAAACTGCATCGCTAGGATATAAATTAGGATTGGGCGCTTGGCTTCAAATTGTAGTAGCGAAATTGTTTTCTTCCCTTTTTCTTGACGAGGAGGCGGAATTGGAGGTACTAGAATCGTGGTACGCGAGACATGGAGGATGGCGAGAGGAATGTGTGGAAGGACATAGCTAGTTAGACTTTTATTTTAATTGGAGGAGCTTGAGAAAGAGAGAGCGAGAGAGCAAGTAAACATGCAAACATGTGATCTGAAGGAGGAAAGAAACGAGGAACCGCGTTGTCACGGTGGGTAGGATTGGCTGTTCGTAATGCTATCGTGTTTGGAAAAGTTTTTGATCATGAAGAAACTTTCGAAATGTGGCAAAATTTTCAGTGTAAAGTTGGTGTTGTGATAAGTTTTTTTTTGTAGACATTTCCAACTGTGTAGTGCTTATATTTACAATTAAGGTTTTCAGCTTTGTCATCCAATTCAACTTCTGTGTAAAAGAGTTTTTTTTTCATAATATATAAACATATATATATATACATATATATATACATACATTGTATGTTGGGTTCCAACAACAGATGAATTAGTCTGTTCCAATGTATTTTAAATCTTTATCAAAATCACCATCCAAATAGGCACTTTCTTCCCTACGAGCGACAGAAAACAATTGAATAGATTTTATGGTACACTATTCGATTAGTTGTGAAAATTGGATGGATTTTCCTCTGAGGGAACCGAAAATCTAGATACTTGCAGTTCTAGATGCGACATAAATTTTAACTTCAATGATGAGCATTCTCTTTTCTTCATGAATATTGCATTCGATTCTAGTACTACGCCATTGTTTTATATTCAAACAACAATCTGTTGACGTGTTTGATTTTGAATATTTTGTTATGCAGCATCAAACAAGGACCTGAGTGGTGTACTTATTTAGTAAAGTTTTTTGTTAACATAATCTAGTACTTCACCCCGTTGCTACAAACCATCTTCAGTATTAAAGACTTTCTCTAAATGCATATCCTGCATCTCGTGACGCACGGTTCAGCCACTCGCCGTCGGTAGGTGCTATTAACTAGGGACGATACAAAAAGGGAAGTGCATTAGCACTTGGCAGTAATCCAAACAGTTACGTGCAAAACAATTTCACCTAGTAGTGTTGTAAAAACAAATGCATAGAAATACAAATCAAACAAGTTGGGATAAAAATTTTCACTGACTGCTGGCTGCAAGGCGTAGAAAAAACTGCAAGCAAGAAATCACACAAACAAGTTACGTATTCCGGATCAACTACACTCAAACAAACAAAAACAATACTTCATTAATGAACCAGACAAAAAATGCGCTAATGAAAGGAAACTATTGAAATTAAGAAATCAAAGTAATATATTACTATATATTATATCAATGTTGATAAATTGAGAAAAAGTAAGCAAAAACCCTATTCAGCAAATTGATTATTATTATAATTATTGAATTATTACCAGTTCTTAACACTTCCTGACTTGGTGCAGAAAGTTCCAAACAAAAAAAAAAACAAAAGAAAAGAAAATCAATATCAAAACCAGAAACAAAAACGCCGTAAACTTAGTTTGACTAATTTTCCTAAGCAAAACGATAGCGCGAAAGCCTTCAGTGCAGTGTCGCTGGGACTTTAAAACGAAAAAGTAAATAGAAATGTTTAACTATAAAATACTAGTATTCTAATCTGTTAAATTATGTATAAAACACAAGAAAAAATACCATTACAATGTAATTTAATGATTACACGAAACACAAATCAAGTGAAGAGAAAAAAAACAACACGACTACACTAACACACATACACAAAACACACGGACACCATTAACGTAAAGTGGGCAAAAAAAAATGTAATCACATACATTGATTAAAACAAAAGTCATTAAAGCAAGTTAAATCTACCTTTCGCTAATTTAAGTGATTAACCTATAGGAAAAGTAGCGACGCAGCCGCGATGCACCGTTGCGTCTACTATTAAATTATGATTTTTTGTATGTTTTTATCATTATCAACAAAGACAGAAAATTCCTGGAAATAAAATGAAACTGCTATCATACAACACATACACACATACACACAATTATTATGATTGGCTTTGCTTTCTCTTGTTCCATTTCTTTGATGTAAACCTTCTGTTCGGTTCGCATCGCTTGACTTGGCTTTTGATTTGGAAATTCCATCCATGTAATCGAATCCGATATTTACTCTCCATTTGGAAAGAATCCAACACTGTTCAAATGTAAACAATTCCGAATACAAAAACAGCAACACGCGGTTGTCATTTTGATAGATAGAAGCACACACGTTTCATTCACACGAAAGCTAACGCTGCGTTGAGAAAAGAAAACGGTAACTTAAATTAAATAAATAAATAAAGTTTTTCAACCCCCGGAATGAAACACAATCAGATGGATCTGCAAATATTTTTTTCTCCCCATGGATGGGAATTGCAGATATTTTCGGCGAATGAGATACTGAACAGGTTCAAAAGTGATGGGATAGATGATATAGCTTGATGACTTCTGAAAAGAGAGATACCTACTCCGGGACTATAAATAGTTTGATAGTAGGGATACAATGACTAGATTGAGGAAGGAATAAACTGAAGAATAAAAAAAAAACACTGGTTGGACAGAGAAAAGAAGATTAATAATTCTATTAATGCTTGTAATAAATGCTTTATATATAAAAATATATAAAATCAATAAAAATATTTAAACAGAAAGCGGAAAAGTGTTCATGAAATCCGAAATCATCCTGAGTGCTAAAAGTGTACAGTTGTAAAGGTCCAACTGAAGCAATACTGTTATCACTTTCCATCGTTGAAGTTACCTGGTTTGCCGCTCTTGGCAAGTCCATTCCATAGCACAAAACAGCAAACCGAGAAAGAAGCTATTTATGCAACAAGCTGATTAGAATGCTCTTTAATTATGATAAAGGAACACCAGCCACAAATAGCCTTTTATCAGAACTTTTGGTTACTTGGGTATCCTCTCGCACAGCATCAAATCTAGGACATTCGAAGACCACGTGCTCTGGTGATTCTTCCACATTCCCACACTCCGGACAGAAGGGTGACGTTGTGTGTCTGAACCGATGCAGGTACTTCCTGAAGCAGCCATGACCAGATAAGCACCCCTATTCTGTATTTCGTTTCGAACGAAATTCTCATACAAAAAAAATATTTTTTTGTATGAGAATTTCGTTCGAAACGAAATACAGAATAGGGGTGAAGAACTGCGTCAAGTGGAAGTTGACTTCTCCATGCTTCCTGTTCACCCAGGTCGAAAGAATCAGCATTAGCCTGTGTTGCCATCTACCATTCTCTGCTGCATCCCACTCCTGCTGCCACTTAGCCATCGACACCGTTCTCACAATTTTTCGTACTCCTCTGGTTTCTCTCGTCATATAACACTCGGAAACCATGTAGAAGTGTTGTATACAGATTTCAGCAAAGCGTTTGATCGAATTGACATACCCATGCTTCTTTTTAAACTTCAAAAAATGGGAATTCATTACGCACTCCTCAAGTGGCTTGAATCATATTTAACTGACCGTCATCAAATAGTAAAATACAAAGGAAAGATATCAAATCCCGTTGATGTCACTTCAGGAGTTCCTCAAGGCTCCCATTTAGGACCACTTTTATTTATTCTCTTCGTCAATGACATATCTTTCATTATTAAGAAATTGAAAGTTTTAATATATGCTGACGACATTAAACTTTTTTTTGGAAATAAAAGATGCCAAAGACATCATCACATTCAAAGAGGAAATTCAAATATTCCATACTTGGTGTCAAAAAAACCTGCTACAATTAAATATAAAAAATGTAACTCCATTACCATTAGTAGAAAACAAAAGCTACCCGATATAACAGTCACTTTAGGAAACCAGATCGTAGAAAAATGTGATAGAGTCAGGGATCTAGGTTTTATTTTTGACTCAAAACTTACTTTCACCGATCATTATAACACAATTATTAACAGAGCTAACAACATGCTTGGTTTCATAAAACGTTTCTGCTATAACTTTCACGATCCGTATACGATAAAAACATTGTACATTGCTTATGTAAGATCGATATTAGAATATTGCAGCATAGTTTGGACACCTTTTTCAATCACACACGAAGAAAGAATAGAGTCCGTTCAAAAGCAGTTTCTATTGTATGCACTCCGCAAGTTAGGTTGGACTGTATTTCCTCTGCCATCTTACACAGCTCGGTGTATGCTCATAAATATCCAAACATTAAAAGAACGTCGTGAATTTGCTATGATTTCTTTCGTAAACGATATCGTATCACATCGAATTGATTCAATAGAACTATTGTCATCCTTAAATTTATATACACCATCTAGGCATTTACGAAACAGAAATATATTTGCTACAAATCGTCATCGTACGAATTATGCCAAATTTGGACCCTTGAACCAAATGATGGATACATATAATAAGCACTGCGATAACATTGACTTTACAATGACAAAAACTAAATTAAAGCAATATTTTAATTCGTCGCATAACGTCAACTAGAAGTAATGTTTTAACTTTTTCTTAAGACATATTATAAAAAATATAAACAAAGACAAAATTGTAAAAATAGCACTTAAGACAACAATTGTAAAACGGTCTACACTGATTGACGACAAATAAATAAATAAAACTCGTAGTCCTCCGCCGATTGGGATCATACCGGCGATAACGTATACTGCCTCCATCGAAATGGTTCTGTACGCACTCACCACTCGCATGGCCATGAGCCGGAACGTACTGCTCAATTTCCTTTGGTTCTGCTTCTTTTTCAGCGCTTCAATTCAGGCTGGACCTCCGAACCTTAGTATCGATGAGGGCACATTAGCCAGAAGACGCCTCTTGCTGCTGCTTGGACCAGAATTGTTCGGCATGATTCTGGCTATTGCGTTGATGACCTTCGCCGCCTTCTCGCAAACATATTCGGTCGTCGATCATTACTCACAGATACTTCAGCACGCGATTCGAAACAATGGTGTGAACTGCTGAAGTTACTGACCAACATCACTTCTGTTTTGTGGTGAGCTATCTGCAGTTTCGTTCCTTGCATCCAGTTACCAATCGTATCTATCGCCTCGGCCGCCAGCATTTCCACTTCTTCCAGCGTCTCACCGGTTACCGTCAAGACGACATCGTCCGCAAATCCAACGATCTCAACTCCTTTGGGCAGCTTGAGCGTCAGCACGCCATTGTACATTCCATTCCACAGCGTGGGACCTAGAATGGAGCCTTGTGGAACTCCCGCCGTGATTCTAAGTGATTTCTGCCCCGTGTCTGTCTCGTAGACCAGGACCCGGTTCTGGAAGTAACTACTTAGTACCCTCATTCTATGGAGCGCCTTCGCGATGGCCTCCCAGCTGGCGCTATTGAATGCATTCTTCACATCAATCGTAATCACGGCGCAGATTTCCTCTCCGCTTCTGTTTGGAAGCTTTCTCGGCTCTGTCAATCACTGTCCGAATTGCATCCATCGTCGATCTCCCTTTCCGGAATACGAACTGCCTCTCCGACAACCCATGTTCACTCTCCATGACTCGCATTTCGTCAGCCTGTTCAGGATGATCCTCTCCAAGAGCTTTCCGAGAGTATCCAGCAAGCATATTGACCTATACGATGCAGGATCCCCCGGCGGTTTTCCGGGCTTTGACAACAGCACAAGCTTTTGTATCTTCCACCTATCAGGGAACTGACTCTCGTCCAGAAATTTCTGCAGCTCTATCCTGAACATTTCCGGGAACGTCTGGGTCGCCGCCTTCAACCCTTTCGCTGCTGCTAGGAGTTCCTCGTTGGAGACTTGTTCAACATTGTCTCCATCTTCCTTGCTATATGGTGTTCGTTGGTTTCGTTGGGTCATGCTGTGGGAAAAGTCCCTCCACGATGACTTTCAGCTTGTTGGGACACATTTCAACCGGCATCGTTGGACCTCTGATCTTCGCCATCGCGACTCGGTATGCGTTGCCCCAGGGGTTGGCATCGGCATCGCGGCACAGCTCCTTGAAACTGTTTAACTTGCTCAGCTTTATCTTTCGTTTTAGTGCAGCCCTGGCCTCTCGGAACACCACCCTGCGCCCCTCTCTGTCTGCTTCCGTTCTTGCTCTCTGAACGCGCCTTCTGACTAGAAGACAACTAGCACGGAGGGTGCTAATTTCCTCGTTCCACCAGTAAGCTGAACGCCGCCTGTTCGTTGGTTCCAGTTTTCTCGACATAGTTGTGTCACATGCCCTTGCTAATGATTCGGTCAACTCGTTCGCGCTAAGACCCGGGACGCTGCTGTCTACCCTTAGAGCTTCGATGAAGAGATCCTTATTGAATGCCTTCGTCTTCCACTTCCGCTCGCTTAATTTCGTCCTCCGCATTTCCACCGATGTCCGTTCGCCGATACTGTACCGGATCGCCTGATGGTTACTATGGCTGTACTCTTCATTTAATTCCACTACCTTATTATTTGCTTATCCTTGACAGATACGCGTATTTTGTCTACAATGTGCAGACTTCTTCAGTGTCTTGTACCAATACTCGACTGCGAGTATTAGTACAAGACACTGAAGAAGTCTGCACATTGTAGACGAAATACGCGTATCTGTCAAGGATAAGCAAATAAGGTAGTGGAATTAAATGGAAATTACTAATCGTTCTCTCTCTCTCTTTATACAGGTATTCCACTAAGACGCCCACATTCATCAGGATTCATTTTGACAAATCTTTCTAGCCTATCTGAAATATTTAATAAATGGAAACCATAACATGGGTTAGGGGAACTAGGAACTGCCCCGTATAAAGTTTATTTTCAGGAATATAATTTTTGATCAATTGTTGTTGATTATTAATTTATTTGATAAGGCTCAAACGAATTAACTTTACAGAGCCGAGGATTCTTTGTCACTAAAGGGTGATACGGTCAAAATTTGGTCAAGGGAAAATGCGTGTAAATCGGTGATATCGTTTATTTAAAAAATCAAATTAAATTTCTTTTTCAAGTTCAATTAGTATAAAATTCAGAAAAAATATTCAGTTAGGCTTCCGCTTATCCAAATCCGAATTGCCGGGCCTTACGCTTGACCCCTGCCATCAGATTTTGTACAGCCACCTTGTCCACCTTCTTCGCCGCAGAAAGCCAGTTTTCCTTGAACTGCTGCTCGCCCTTAGCAGTTTTTTTGGTCTTCTTTAGGTTCCGCTTGACAATAGCCCAGTATTTCTCAATTGGGCGGAGCTCTGGCGTGTTGGGAGGGTTCTTGTCCTTGGGAACCACCTGCACGTTGTTGGCGGCGTACCACTCCATGGCCTTTTTACCGTAATGGCAAGATGCCAAATCCGGCCAAAACAGTACGGAACAACCGTGTTTCTTCAGGAAAGGCAGCAGACGTTTATTCAAACACTCTTTCACGTAAATTTCTTGGTTGACAGTCCCGGAAGCTATGAAAATGCTGCTTTTCAAGCCACAGGTACAGATGGCTTGCCAAACCAGATATTTCTTTGCGAACTTTGACAGTTTCATGTGCTTGAAAACATCTGCTACCTTTCCCCTTCCTTTTGCCGTATAAAACTCCTGTCCCGGAAGCTGCTTGTAGTCGGCTTTGACGTAGGTTTCGTCGTCCATTACCACGCAGTCAAACTTCGTCAGCATCGTCGTGTACAGCCTCCGGGATCGCGCTTTGGCCGTCGTATTTTGTTTATCATCGCGATTTGGAGTCA